TTCCAACTGCTGACTGCTTACTGCCCACTGTCAGCTGCTTACTGCCAACTGCCAAACATATTTGAATAAATTTTATATTTGTATTGATATTTATACGAATTTTCACAAAAAAGGATAAAAAGGCACGGATTCAGGACATTTTTCCAAGGGGGTCACTCTGGTAAAATTGAATTGAATAAATGACCAATATGTTTTATCTTATGTAATATTCAATATATGCGGTTGAAAAAGTACATTGTTTATTTTTTAATTTGCTTTCCTATTTGAAATAGGTAATAAACTGACTATTTTCTGCTTTTAATCTTTAAAGAAGCCCCCCCCCCCCCTCCTCCCCCGGAGACAGCAAAACCTTTGAAGAGATTTGTCGTTTCGCGGTGAAAGATGCTTTTGAAAATAAATTTCCGTTTTCCATTATATTCTATAGTTAAAAATTTCCTCAAATTAAAGATGTATATCTCTGTGTGTTATAATGTTTCACATGCATAGATGAGGGGGGGGGGGCATTTAAAATTTGTACAGTCATACGTTAAATAAACTAAACGAACTACCGGTATAACTGACCTTGGACCCTCCACTTAGAAAACGCCGATCAAACATTTATATCTCTTTGTTTGTACAAATAAAATATGTTTTACATGCATAGATCTAGAGAGAGGGGTCCGGAACACCCCTCTGAAATTTGTAAAGTTATTTAATGCACAAACTTAACCAACTAAAAGTTATTTAATGTATAAAATAAATCAACTAAAGGGGACCTTAGACCCCCCCCCTCCCCAACCGAAAATGGATTCGTGTCAAGTTGGTATGAAAAATGTCAGACGCATAAGAACCCCCTCTCCCCGGCCGAAATAAATTTTCACATTTAATAGGAAAGGACTTTACGTATTTTTTTCTTGTCAAGAAATTTCTGGGTTGGATTTTTTTTTACCAGGGTAACCCTTTTGGAAAAAATGTCCTATAGATCCGCGCCTTTTTTTTTAATTCACATAAATATCAATATAAAAATAAAATTTATTCAAATGTGTGTGGCAGTTGGCAGTAAGCAGCTGCTAGTTGGCAATAAGCAGTCAGCAGTTGGCAGTATGCAGTTGGCTGTCGTATATGGCATTCCATACGAAATAGCCAAATTTTGGAGAAATATTTTTTTTTTCATTTTGGTCAATCCCGATCTAAATTAAACTGATCCCAACCATAATTATAAAATTATTGGAAATAAATTACATTTTCCCAAGAACACTATTCTGATTAAGTGTAATAAGGTAAAAACATTATCGAACCTGAAAATAAAATATTTTTTTTTCATATACATGAAGAGGCAATAAATTAGCATTTAATCATTTTGTGTTAATTTTGATCGGGATCAGTTAAATTTTGATCGGGTTAGGTCCAAATATTAAAAAAAAATAATTTCTCTAAAATTTCTCAATTTCGTTTCAATTTCTTTTTAAAATATGATTGACAAACATGTTGTCCTCAGTTGTGACTAGTTTTGTGGTCTTTTAACCATAGGTTTAGAAAATTGAATACTTAGTATTCACTAATAATGTGTTTTGTTTTCATAAATTATTTTTTATGAAAAAAAAAATTTAAATAGTCTAACCAGCCTTTCTTTACATATTTTATTAGATATTCATATGATGAATTCATTTACAGCAAACCTTTACTCGAAAACAACTTATTTGGATATAAATAATTTTTTTCATTTTCTCTGAAAAAATACAAAAAATTCATATAAAATAATTAAGAGCAAATATCGGTCTTTCAATGCTGAAACCATTGTTCAAAAAGGCTGACTCAAAAATCTATAAAATAAAAGTTGATGTGGCATTCCACCTTATGAGCCCATCGAATAATGACCTGGGAGTCATTTTTCAACGACAGAAAATTGAATTAATGGCATATTTGGATGACAAATGGTCCTTGAAAAAAGTTTTTTCTCAGATACACTTAGGTAAAAAAGACGTAATCTTCGAGGTTGCACAGCCAGGACAAACCAATAAATACGGATTGGTCACGAGATCAAATTCCATAATGCCCGAAGGCCTTTATGATGAATTTATCTCGTACCAACCCGTATCTATAGCCCGATAGATGTACAGTTTTAAAATGATACCTTACTACTTATATTTACATTTGTGACTTATTCATACTTTATATTGCCTGATTGTGACTTTTAAGGTCATACGCAACGTAGTTCGAACTTGAATGGGTTCTTCCCTGGAGTTGAAGAGTTCCACTAATTGAAGGACCTGTGTGAAATACTTTTAATGTCTATATATGGATCTGTACACCTTTTCAAAAACAATTTATGATGAAAAAAAATCTAGGATTTATGTTTTGTAATTTTTGTACATTTTTCTTTGAATAGTGCAAAAAATTTCATAATTTGATATCTTTTCAAAACCCGTGGTAACGCATGTTGATTTTTTGTCTAAGAACATGTAATGGATATACAAGTTTAAATTTAGAATATCTTGAAAAATTATCAGTAGTTAAGATACCTTGCGTATGTCCTTAACGTGTGAAATGCATTATTTTTCAAACCCAACGACAAGGTCTCATGATAGATTTTATGCCTATATTTCTAATATTAGACCAAGAATGCAAAATTGCTCTTTTTATACCTTCGTATAAAGTAAAAGGGATCTTTAAGGAATATTCTTGGACAAGATCATCAAAGCATAAAAAATTACCATTATTATCAAATAAATCACCAACTATAATAAATCCCTTTTCATACAAAGCTTTTGAAAAACGTACTTATTTTGAACCACAATTTCAATGTTATACCAGAGAGGTTCCAAAAAAAAGAAATTCTCCCTGGTTCAAGTTGCATGCTACCAAACTTAAAAATTCCGAAAATATAATGCAGTACTTCTTTCCAAATGCTATTTTGTGTGTTATTTGCTGTAACTTTTGTATACTCTGGTCCAAAATGGGCCAGGTGTACAATATTACATTTTATTATTTTAGTGAACAGTGGAATCCAATCAGATTTTGTAAATAATAATCTTTTGATCCAAGTTAATTTTGGAGATTTAATAAAATAGTCAATATTTGTCATATTAAGCCCATCATTCTCTTTCGAAAGTTGCATTGTTTTTCTTGAGATTTTCTCTGTTTTGTTATTCCAGATAAATTTATAAAAAATGTTTTTCCAATTCCTTTATCCACTTTTTATCTGGATTTGGGAGAACAGTAAATAAATGTGTTAGTTTGGATAAGAATAGACCTTTTATTACTGTAACTTTCGGTAGTGGGGTTAATTTCTTTTTGACCATGAAGTGGTTTCCTTTTTAATGTTTTGAAGAAATTTCTCAAAATTAAGTTGTTCCATATTTTTTAGGTCAGCAGTATATGTGATGCCAAGAACTGAAAAAGGTTCTACTGTCCACTGAAGTCTTGTTTCATTACATACAGTTTTTCTGGAATTTATTTCAGAACCTATCAATATTGATTTTGTTTAAGTAATATTTGGTTTAAGTCCTGAGAATTTTGAAAATTGAAAAAAAAAGATCTAAGGCACTTTTTAGGCTTTTTTCTGAACCACCTAAAAACATGACTGCGTCATCTGCATATTGAAGTAAACATATTTTTTCCTCACCTATTTTTATTCCCTTTATATTTTTATTTTGTCTAATCATATATCCCATAATCTCTGCACACAGGTTAAATATATATGGAGAGACTGGATCTCCTTGGCGACAACCTCTACCTATTTTGAAGAATTGTGAAAATATACCGTTTTGAATTACACATAGTTGAGTTTGATTATATAGTACTTGTATCAACTTGATAAGGTCAGGACCAAAGTTAAAAGTCTTTAATGTTTTGTATATAAATTTCAATGAAACCGAATCAAAAGCCTTCTCAAAGTCAACGAGTAAAATAATTCCTGGTATATTTCTTGTCTTTGTACTTTGGAGTACGTCGTAGATAATACGTGTATTTTCACCAATAAAGCTATTCTTAAGAAAACCTTTTTGATTGCCGTGTATAAGAAAATCTAATACGCATTTTATTCTATTTGCTATACATGCAGAAACTATTTTATATTAAACATTGAGCAAAGATATTGATCGCCGATTTTTAAAAAAGTCTCTTGGTTTATCGCCTTTTGGTAAGAATGTTATAATTCCTTGTTTCTGAGTGGTGGATAATTCTCCCTTTTGAAATCCATAGTTAATTGATCTAATAGGAACTGCCCAATATCTTTCCAAAAAAAGTTTGTAAAACTCAGCGTTTTTAATTTAATGGCGCTAGTCCAGTAACTTTCCGAACTACCCGTGTAAGTCGATGTGTTCAACACAGTTTTTAGAATTTCGAAGCTAAAGTATCAAACTGTGTTTTTCATTTTCCTTGCATCAAAAGATCGAAGCCAAAAATTTATCGTAAAGAGAGATTCTTGCCATATTTATTGTAGGTAATAGTTGGGGGGTGGGGTAACATCTTTTCATAATAAAACTGATTTATAATGCTTGATTGTGAATTTTTTTTTCATTATTAGCTTATTGTCTATAATATTACCCCACATGCAAATTCCAACACAACCACAAATACATGTAGATCAACCGCTCCGTCAGCCGATAATTAAATATGGTATCGTTGTTTAAATGATTCTTCTTTTTTGAGATTTGAAGATGCATGAATTAAATTCTCTTGTTATAAAGCCTGGCCTTGAGTATCTATATCTGGTCACATACTAACACTAATAAGCATATCTATTTTAAAAGTTTACAGAGTTCATAGAACATTCAAACTGACACCAACAATTAATCTTCGACCATGAAAGCTCAATTGAACACTCAGCGCAGTTTAGCTTAACATATACTGTGATATCATTTTAATTTTTAATATTTTAACAAAATAAACGTTCGTGGGGATGTAAATTTGCACGGGGTAAGGGTGACCCACGAAATTCATGAACATCAGTCCCCCATGAGTAATTATGATTCTACAGTAGATGAAAGATTACATGGATTATGTATGTACGTATTGTCATACATTTATTGTAAAAATATGAGCCACATATTTGTAGTAAAAATTTGGAAGAACATTTCTATAACTTAGCCATTTCATTTCCTTTTATTGCAATGTTTCGTCATAGGACGGGGGCGGCCTACTTATGACGTCATCATACGATGGCGGGAGGGGCGAACTGTTCGATAGTTCCCTCACAAGAGTCCAATTCACATCAGGCTGAAATTCCTCTCTCCTTTCATTATCATTATTTGTTGGCAGTTCCTCTATTACCTCTGCACAGATGGTATAAATTGGTTGCTGATCAGTAGTAAAGTCGGGTTCTTCTATAAAATTAATGAGGATTAATTATTTGGTATAAAGACAGTTCATTTGCACACAGTGTGATTTACTTGTGAATAGGCGCTTGACGTTTTAAACCTTTTCTTTTTATTAAAAAAAAAGTTATTATAGAATGGGAAATTTTTATATTATTTTATGAAACGAAAGGTTTAAAACGCCAATCGTCTGTGTTCACCTTGTACAATGTTGTTCTCGAGGGGTAAACTGACGGTGTGTCCCGAGGAAAAGTGTCTTGGCTCCGTAAAAATTATGTGATATTCCTCACTGCACAATCGTGAAGCCCTCCTCTCTTGTGATTCGTCAGTCGATATCCCTTCAAAGAAAAACTTGAATTTTGTTATCAAGGCCTTTGGTTTTGCTGTTTGTGAATAAAAGCTTCGTATTTATATAACTTACAACTTAAACTTTCTGAATTCTGGTTCATGTGAGGTAGGTTGACGACGTGCCCCGAGGGGTATATTATACGGTAAATCAATCTATTAGGACTACTCTCCCTTGCCTCTGCTTCCTCTGCGAATGAAAAGTTAATTTGTTATCTTGTTTGTTTACATACAATGTATAAGTATTTACGGTGATTTGAATATGATAACTATCACTCTCCCATGTTGTTCTCAAGGGGTACATGTATGTTGGATATAGACCCTTTTCCTGTGACATATTTTGTCTAGGAGTTATTCCCCTTAGCCGCCATCTTGTAGGGCAAAGTAGTGAATTTACCTCTTTGAGCAACCAATTTTAAACATGCATGCAAGAAATATATGGGGGGAAATATTCACAATCTTATAATCATAAATTAATAGATGCTTTAACAAACGTATATTCATAAGAAAAATAGCATTATCTTTACCTTAGTAACTATTATAACAAATTGAACTTGGTTGAATAATGAAGGGATCTGGGAATGTTGCCCTACAATATGGCGGCTAAGGGAAATAACTCCTAGACAAAATATGTCATAGGAAAAGGGTCTATTCGTCCTGGGGCCTCTACTCGTATCTCCCCCGTACTGAGATACAACTTCTTTGAGGGACATTTTTAACCTTTCTTTTCATTAATAAAATTATTTATTTAGAAAGGGAATTTTATATTTATGATTTAAAAAAAAAAAAAAGGTTTAAAACGTCAAGCGTCCGTGTTTACCTTGTCCAATTTGGTTCTCGAGAGGTAAACTGATGGTTTGTCCCGGAGAGTAGTCTGTTGGCTCCCTCCAAATGAGTGTTTCTCCATTTCGCAATCTTTCATTTCTCTCTCGTGATTCGGCTATCGGTATCCCTTCAAAAGAAAAATTGAATTAGTAGTCAAGGCGTTTTATTTGCTGTTTATATGAATTAAAGCTTTGAATAACTTACGTTCGGTATTCTGGTTCATGTAAGGTAGGTTGACGGTGTTCTCTGGGCGGCATATTGGAGTTTCTCTTGCTGGCTGCCCCACAATAGGGTTTTCTGTACTACTCAATCTATTCCTTCTCTCCCTTGCCTCTGCTTCCTCTGTAATTGAAAAGTTAATTTGTTGTCAAGACTCTTGTTTGCTTTTATACAAAGTATAATTATTTATTTGTGAATTGACCATAACTAACGCTCTCTCGTGTTGTTCTCGGGGGGTATGTTGCATGATTGTTCTTGGGCATCTACTCGTGTGTCCCCAGTCCTGCGGTTCAACTTCTTCTTTATACATTTAATTATTGGTTCTATGCACACTAAAAAAAAATCACAACAGTTTATTTTTGATATCAGATATCAATTTAACACTGGTTCCTATGTAGCTGTAATATTACGCCCGAAGGTAAGGGGCTTACATATACGTTTAAGTACACTTACATGATTGACATAATAAATAGCAGTAAAGAAATATTGCAAATTTCGAGGTATGGACGTTGAACTCTAGATGTAGCTCCCTGTGACACTGTATTCTAACAGACATATCGGAGCCTTAACATACACCCATTGTAAAATACCCCCCTCCCCCCCCCTAAAAAAAGAAAGAAAAAAGATCATTTTACAGTGTTTTTAATTTATAGTTGTATGCTTTGGGTATTATTTCTCATATTTTTCCTATATCCTTGTTACTTTAATTAAGGATTGAAGCTTAATTTAAACTATTTTACATGTATATACGATATAATATAACTTAGTTTACGATTTACAAACCGCGAAGTGGGTTGTAGAGGATTCCTAAAGGACATTTAAGTCGATGTAAAGGACACTGAGAGCCATTGGCATAACAGTGCAGAGAGAAGTAGATTGATAGGGAGTCTGTGCAGGGAGACGTAATCAGCGTCCATGTGGTTGTGGAGAAAAAGAGCAGAGAATTGGAAAGACAATAAACAGTGGTAAACGATGGACAGTAAAATAGAACAGCAGTGATATAGAGCCAAGTGGTTCCAGGCTGATCACCCCAGTCGGCACACATCTGGAGGCTGTAGTGGACAGCGCCGTAACAGCCGATGAAGTAGGATCCACCCGAGGATGGACCCACGCATTTTTCAATTGTAACGTGCGCCAAATACACAAATCTATTAATAGCTCGCTGTGACACACTTGCAAAAAAAATACATTAAAAATATTTTATTTCTTTAATTAGAATTATCTCTGTCAAAGACTAATTGAAATTTATGAATGTAAAAGTGCATGAAATTAAATCTTTTAACAAATTCATTCTTTGAATAAAATATTTCCTTTCACAAATTAAAAAAAAAATCGACATTCATTCATAAAAGTAAAAAAAAAATCTCAGAACGACAAAGGAAGCAATGTTTTCGATCGACATCTCCTTTAGCTTGAGGACCGCTCGAGGAGCCTTGACGACCTCTGATGAGTATCATGAGTTTGGCAGGATTTGATCACTTTTGGAATATCTGGAACTAGTCTGGACTTATGCGACAAAAACATTCTTATATAATAATTAAATTCTGGTTGTAATGCTGTATTTGATTCGATTAAAAATACCTATATCGTATAAAATGGGTTTACCAACGTCACAATGACTTGCGTCAAAAACGTATCAGTCCGCCTGACATTACATTCAAATTCTGTACAAATCGAAGTCGTATTTTAAGAGCAATCATCTTTTAATCTTACACCAAATGAATGCTACCCATTTTATACAGTTTGAACTATGTTGGACAGTTTATCTTTTTTTTAATAATCAGCCTCGCGGTTTTTTAAAACGTAAACCGTCCCAACCCAGTTTATACCGTATAAAACTGGGTAGCTATTAAATTCATTCTTTAAGTATAGCGAGGACTTGCATATATTTACTTTTCCCCAACATGTTCAGGAATAAAGAAAATGAACTACAAAGTTTAATAAATTTCAATACCCCACACTCTAGCGCTCTTTGTCTTTTGTGCCATGTGACATGGAGTTTAACATTTTCTTTTTTTTTCTAATAAGGATTGGCTGCTTTTTATCCCCTCAAAACAGAGTTGGATGGGATAAGCCCATGTGTGTGCTTTGTATGTGTGTTAGTTTTTCCTTGTGCAAAATGGAAATGCATGAACTAATTTGATTCGGGATTGATATCAAACACTGTCTTGATTAAATAAATATGCTCTTTGCGAGGGGATGCTACGCTTTGTGGCTTTGAAAGTGGGGAGGGGGCACGCGCAAGAGGTTAAAAACGTCGTCGTAAATTTACATTGAGTGAATATTTGGGGACTCTAGTATGTCTGAAATTTTGGTCTTGGAGTTCTACTAATGTTTTGATAATAATATGTGCATACTTCAGTATATAGTGTTATACCATAACATTAATTAATTACAAAGCCCTCTTTTTCTGCCTGATCCATCCAGGTGAGTTTTATTTTAGGACGTACCAGTATAAAAGTGTACTGGTATAAAGACGCAGAGAAAAATTCCAATGATGGCCTTGCAGAGGATCGACCAAAACATACCCCAAATTGTGGAAAAATCGGACCTAAAAAAACAAACTCAAAGTTAAAATAAGCTTCCAAAAGTTATAGAAAAAATTTTCCAGAAAAGAAAAGATCGAAATACAGTAAAACTCGCTTAGTACGAACACGGATATTGCGAATTTACGGATATAGCGAAGTCATCTTGGATCCCCAGCTGTATAAATTTAATGAATTTCTTATACGGTTATAACGAATTACGGATATAACGAAGTATTTTCATAGGTCCAAGTGACTTCGTTATAACCGAGTTTTGCTGTACTAGTATTTACTTGAAATACCCAAATGTGTAACCCCCCCCCCCAATTATTCTCAAATTTTGTCGAATTATTTTTACAGCATTTAAACCATCCCTTGGTCAATCTGAAGTATTATTGAAGTATTTATGTATTTTTCCCCCAAATAATTTACAAGTGGGTTTATTAATGTTCTATTTCTCATAAGATGAAATAGACAAACCTCTCAATATACAGTAGTTTTGAAAGCCACTTCATCTTTATTCAGACATTAAATTTCTGATTAAATATTCTTTCAACATTAAATTTCTGATTAAATATTCTTTCAACAACAATTCTCAAACATTATTATTTGGGAAAGTTTACATGTAAAATATTATAAGAGAACAAAACATTCATAAAGAGTTTTTTTTTTCAATTATAAAACATAGCAGTCTGATGTATGTGCTGTAAATGAGATGTTATCAGACAAAGTGCTCAATCTGAAAAATTGTTACATCAAAGAAACAGAATTGGAGTACTACCAATCGGATCGCATGCATATGACACGAAAAAAAAGTATTTTCACCTCGTTTAAATATAATCATATAGTCATAGAGTCGAGAGAGAGAGAGAGAGAGGGGGTGTGTGTCATGTATGTCAACACTCACATTCTGCTTTAACTGCAAAGTCCCCTGCAATATAAGATATGTCACAAGTAACTATTTATTTTTAAAAAAAATTGTATAATTATTATTATTCAAAGAGCATGGATGTTTCATTTATAAGTGCAAAAAATTACTCTAAACCATATGAGGATTGTCTAAAATATTCGCCGAGAAACGAAACTACATCCTTGTAATGGTTTTGTAGGTTAATATAGAAGATAATTAAAGGCGCATGGACACATATTTGAAGTAAATATTTTCTGTATAATATCACGACTTATATATTTTAATAGCATTTCACACAAAAAATTAACAATTTTATTTCATCTTAAAGTTACTGAAACTTTAAATTTTGGATAGGTTTGATTGACACATCATCGCACTCTCTCAAATTTTACTTTTATTCTTGATACTAATAGGAAAAAGTGGCAATCTTGTTGTGTATTAGGCTAATGAACAAAATCTGTGTCCATGCACTTTAAAATAAAAACTAGAGGTACTGTGAGCAATGAGCTCACTAAATGATACCCCCCGCCTCCCATATGAATATTATGGCAGTGTCCATGTTTTGCTCTGGAAAATCCAAAATATATGTCAGATCAAAAAGTAAAATAAGAGGTGCACAATGGCAATATGTAATGAAGATTCTGTGAAAGTTTCATTAAATTCCTTCAGTGGTATTAGAGGAGTTGCGGATAAGAGATGGGTACCCCAAAGCATAACAGACGGACGGACGGAAATACCGATTACCATATACCCTCCCACTTTTCAAGCGGGGGGTATAATAAAAAAATTATAGAGTAACTGTACTAGGGTTGTTCAATATATATTAATGTCCTCGGTGCTCGGACACGGAAGCAAGAGACGCTTTTCAATGTCTTCGTTTTAATTATTTAATAAATTATTCTATTTTAATTATAACACATCTACGTAACACTTTCATCCGATTTCTGATTGTATTTAGAACTCATTATGAGTATGGCCCATATTGGAATATACTGAAATATGGCAGATCCTATAATTTCCTGGACTTGTTTCTCCTTTCTGAAAGGTGTTTTTTTTCAAGTTTGGAAAATGAACCAAGTCGAAGGGTGACAGATATTGTCTGGAATAGCCATTGGTTTGCAGCTCCTCACAATGAAAATATGAGATGAAAAGTAGTCACATTAACTGTTATCAATTCATTGTTGTCGATTCAATCATAAGAGAAAGTCAAGCTTAATGTCACATGATACCTATGTTGTATGTCATAGAGTTGAGGACATTGTTTATTGAACAGCCCTCGTACAATACTCTCATCAGTATTAAAGATAAAATATAGATCTATAATGGGCCATAAAAAATCAGCCCAATGCTTATGCTAGATTTCGAAGTCAAGGAAAATTCAGGGAATAAAAAAAAGTAATGGGGAATAGGGAAAGATATTTTTTCATTGAACATATAGTCGCATGATACCCAATCATGTTTATCAAAATTTTAGGTAAATTTAAATGAAGGGCTTATTTAGCATGTGGACAAGGTTTATTCAGTAGAGTGTTAAACCATAATTATTATCGTTTGTGGTTATTAAAGATGGTATTAAATTAAATTTAAGATTTGCAATTATCAGATTTAATCTACCTCAAATACTGTGCTAATGCTTGTAAATATTTATTTATACCTTTTTGTAAAGTCAAACAAAAAAGTGGTACATCACATCATATTTAAGTACATGTGAAGTATTGTTACAGTTTTAAACTTAGACTTTTTTCAGAAAAGCCAAATAAATGCATTGTGAATATAAAATGTACATTATATTTACTTGTTTTGTAAATCCAAATTTTTTATGCAGTGGATCGCCTCGCTAAGCTAATAAATATATAGCACATATAGTATCTTCACATGCATGATTGAACTCAATTACATACAATTACTATACCGAGTACAGTGATGCACAATGTCAACTAATAGACAAATAATTATAATAATAATACATATATAATAATAAAAAGTACCTGTACTTCAATGAACGTAGAACGACTATCAAGAATTAAACTTTGTTGTTTGATTTACAAGACACTTCATTGCAAAATGTAAGGAAAATTCTTCATGTATATGTGCGCAATTTTACGCACGCGTAGATACACAAAGGAATTCCCTGGATTTCTTTAATATGTGATTATTTCATCACATGCATTTATGTATGTTGTGTCAATTAAACCTGTCATTCAAATTCCGTCTGCCTTTGTTTTAGTTTAGCGCCATGAATAAAAAAAATTAATTAAAAAAGCTGAATTAAAAATTTTAATGTCCTGGATTTTTTTTAAGAAAAGAAATTCTCAATTGCAAAATCAATTTGCAAAACTCTGTTATGTTTATAGAACTGATGTAGTTCCATATAGTTTCGAAAAAAGAGGTAAGGATGATGAAATATATGGAGATAACGAACAGTATTTAAGGTTTATGACTGCATGTATACATGTATATTTAAACGACGTGAAGATGCTTTTTTCGTCCTTTATGCATGCAATTCGATTTGTAGTACTCCAGATGTGAAGATTTTTCAGATTGTGTACTTTGTCTATTAACAATCCAGTTACAACACATACATCAGACTGTTATGTTTTATAATTGCAAATAAAAAACTCTTTATGAATGTTTTGTTCTCTAATAATATTTTACACGTACACTTTTCCACATATCAATGTTTGAGAATGTGGTTGAAAGTTGCAAAGCATATTTAATCAGAAAATTAATGTATGAATAACGATGAAGTGGCTTTAAAAGCTATATTGAGAAGTTTGTCTAGTCTATTTAATCTAATGAGAAATAGAACATAATTAACCCACTTGTAGATGAAATAAAAAGAATATATAAATAACCTTCGATAACACTTCGGATGGCCCAAGGAATGGTCTAAATACTGTAAAAATAATTCGACAAAATTTGAGGATAATTTGTAAGGGAAAAACACACATTTAGGTATTTCAAGTAAATATACTAGTATTTTTTTAAAATTGATTTCAAATGTTTTTTTTTCTATAGTTTTGCAAGTTTACTAGTATTTAGAAACATTAGTAAGTATTATGAAATGATTGTAAGCATATTTTAAATACTTTGCATCCCATTGTATTTTAGGTCTGATTTTTACACAATTTGCGTTTTTATGCGTTTTTTCCCATATGTTCAAAAATAAAGAAAATAAACTACAGATATGTAGTATAATAAATTTCATAACATCACAGATTTAACCTCACTTTGGCTCTACTTGTCTGTGCCAAGTGACATTATCTTAGAGGTATGCTGCTTTTTATCCATTCGCAATGGAGTTGGGGGGGGGTATCTCTTGCGCTTTTGTGTGTTTGTGTGCGCGTTAGTTTGTGCTTGTGCGAAAAGGAAATGACGTAATTTGCATCGGGTTTGATGTTCATGTCTTTTTCTTTTGATCATTTTTTTTTCTGCACCCCCCCCCCCCCTTTCCAAAACGATGCTACGTCACTGCAATTCTTTCTTTTTTCAAATAATTTTCCTTAAACTGTTGCTGTCTCTATCTGACGCCTTTTAAAAATTACAATAACTTCCAAGGAGACATATAAGAAGATGGGCGAGCAAGGCGAGCAATTTAAAATGCCTTATTTACCTGAATATTTACAGTTGCATGAGCTTCAAATGTAAACAAATTAAATTCACAGATTGTAAACTACATGTATTAAAAGCACAGTTCGACAATTTAAAAAAAGTATGAAATTGTGTTTAAAAAACTTTTAATAGATATATTTTCTAGACTTATGGCAATAATTAGTCTAATAGTTGAATTAAAGGATTTCTTGAGACCCGAACCCAACCGATAATAATCTTGGGGCAATTTTTTTTCTAAGCGACTGACACGCTAAAAACTGCACCCAAAGCATGTGGTGACATTTAAAATTTGATTGTGCTTTATTCCTTGATTTCGAATGTTTCTGTACAATACGACTGAATTTTTTGTCACAAAATGCGTTTTTTTTAATGTGGAGTGGGACCATCTCCCAATGGAAGCAAAAAATGTAATACATATTTTGAAACATAATTATATTACTCTGAAGAAACTCTGATGTGTGCAAAGACGAATAATTTAAACTTTTGTGAATTTGTTGCAAATTTTGAAGATCTCGAATTTTTTTTATAAAGCATTCATATACTATGTGCTATTTTAAAGAAAATTGTATTATAACTGACAATAAATTTTCTACCTCTTGTTTGTCATACTGTAAACATTTATCTCAGGCTGTTTATGTTGTTTGCAAATTTTAATTATATTCCTTTTCTTTTTTGCTTCCTTTTTATAGTGAAAGATTGAATAAAAAATAATGGTTAAACTTCCGTTTGATAACTGTGCTTTTGATTGTTCGAAGGAAAATAACACTATTCAAACCATGCACGGATCTAGAGGGGGAGTTGGGACCCCCCCCCCCCCCCTGAGATTTGAAAGGTTATTAAATTTATATACTAAAGCAATAAAAATTTACCTTTGACCCACCTCGGAAAACGCAGACCCCCCCCCCCCCCCCAGTATACCGAATTTGTGTTAAATTGGTATGAAAAGTTAGTCAATGGTTTGAAGCATTAGAAGTTATCGAAAAAAATTCTGGATCCGCGCCTGCAAACTCTTACACAGATGTGACTTTATTTACAAAAATTATAAAATACAATTATGTGTAAGAAAGATTATAAGTTTGCAATTTCTAACCAGAATTAATGAAAACATACCGACAAGAAAGTATTTCCTCACCATTTTTATCTGAAATATTAAATAAATCTACCTTCATACTGAAATTCTAAGTCCTAAAATGTGAACTGTAGAGCTCTTAAAAGGATCTTCCTTTTATTTTCACTTTCAACTGTCAAGTTCATGTGGCAAGGAACCTTACTTTTTGAAACTGGTATACACAAAACAATATAAACAATACTTCATTGCAATCGCATTACCATGATCTCTCTCTCTCCTCTCTCTCTCTCTCTCTCCTAAATGGCATATTAATATCATGCATTATAAATATAACTCTCGCTCTCTCTCTTTCTCTGTCTCTCTCTCTCTCTCTCTCTCTCTTAAATGACATGACTATTATGCATTAGAGTCAATTGTTCTTGTATCTTGGAAATGTGATGAATCACTTGGATTTGACATTCCACAACCTGGATTTACTATTCCACCAGAGGTCGCTTCTTCATAAGATGGCGGTTGATTCTTCGCCACTTCGCTGTATTCTGGCGGCATTGTGGGATTTGAAGCCCCTTCTTCCGGTCCTTGCACACGAATTCCAAAAATTCGAACAATTCTCAATTCACCCACTCTTCTCGGAACTGCAAAGAAATGGAAGGTTAAAAATGTTGCCAATTTATTCAAGATTGTCTCAATTGAAATATTTTTCTACCTTCTCCTAGCGTGCGTTCTCTCCTCCGAGTCTGTGGAGACAGGTTGAAGTTTGACATTCGCCCGGGGGGCGCTCCTCTGGGTTCACTACTGCGGACACACCAAACAATGCAGCAAACACAGAGAAACACGAACACAAGACAACCCCCTATGATTCCAAAGACGAGTCCTACTATTTCGCCTGTACTCCTGGGGATAAGAAGGAAAAACCCGATTACCAAGACTAATTGAGTAATTCCAAATGTACATTATCGCTGAGACTAACATTCTACTAGTTGCCTACATTTTCGTATGACTGACTGGTTGATTGTATGTTGTTTGACGTCCAATTTGGAGTGTGTTTTAATGAAAGTCACAACTAGTCTCTGATCACTGACTGGATATAAAATGTCCAAAAATAAAATATCAAGCAACCAAAATTAAAAATTAAAGTATCTGTTTATTATAAACTCTCATAATAAATTAATTGTAGAAAACATATAAATTGTATGTCATATACAAGTCATGTACTGTATAAGGCAGTACTTAAACGTTGTATACAAAGGTTTGCTGCAAAATGACTTTTTCATGATAACATGAAATAATAAAATTGAAATAGTTTACAGACACCACTCGACACACGATAGCATTGGTACAGTGTACTTACATTTTACTTTTTGCTGCCTCTTCTGCATAGTAATAATATTTGTAGTAAAATATACTATCATCTCCCTTTTTGAAGGTATACATATCATTTGCGTCATTTTCTTCAAAACAAAAAATCAAAAGATTAGTGAACTAATTTAAACAGAAAATATTGTTGTTTGTAATACTTTTAATCACTTTTATTTTATTCGAAAGAACTAAGGTAAGACTAGTGCAGTCTTCTCGCAAAAAATTTACTCATACTCGTATTCATGTATATTTTTGTCCCCCGCTTTCGCGAAAGCGAGGGGACATTAAATCTCATTCGTCTGTCCGTCAGTCTGTCTAGCTGTCCGTCCGTCACAAAAACTTTAACCTTGCCCTTAACTTTTGATTTAGTGGAGCTATGACTTTTATATTTCACATGCGTATTCCTTGTGACAAGACCTTTCTTTGGGTACCACCAAATTTGACCTTTTAACCTTGACCTTGGAGTTTGACCCACTTTTTTGACCAACTTTAACACAAAAATTCCAAACTTTTACTTTGGTCATAACTTTTAAATGGTAGGCACTAGGACTTTCATATTTCACATATGTATTCTTTGTAGTGACCTTTTGACCTTGGACATTTACTAGTATGTACTTACGGAAAACTTTAACCTCGACAAAAACTTTTGAATGGTAAGGGCTAGGGCTTTCATACTTCAAATATGTAATCCTTGTGAGAAGACTTTTCACTGAACACCGAGAACTTTGACCCGTTGACTTTGACCTTGAATTTTTACCTACTTTTTAAAAACTTTAACCTTGGTCACAACTTTTGAACAGTGGATACTTGGACATTCATATTTCACATATGTATTCTTTGTGGCAAGACCTTTTATGGTATACCAACAATTTTTACCTTTTGACCTTGACCTTGGAGATTTATGTATTTATAAAAACTTTAAACTTGACAATGATTTTTGAACGGTAAGGGCTAGGGGTTTCGTACTTTACATATGTAATTCTTGTGAAAAGACCTTTCATTGGATGCCAAGAACTTTGACCTTGGAGTTTGACCTTCTTTTTAAAAACTTTGACCTTAGCCACAACTTTTGAATGATATATACAAGGACTTTCATATTTCACAAAAGTATTTTTTGTAGCAAGACCTTTCATTGGATGCCAACAACTTTTGACCTTTTGACCTTGGAGATTTATGTACTTACAAAAAACTTTAACCTTGACAATAACTTTTGAATGGTAAGGGCTAGATCTTTCATACTTCACATACGTAATCCTTGTGAGAAGACCTTTCACTGAGCACCAAAAACTTAGACCCTTTGACCTTGACCTTGGATTTTTAACCTCTTTTTCAAAAACTTTAACTTTGGTCACAACTTTTGAACAGTTGATACTTGGACATTCATATTTCACATATGTATTCTTTGTGGCAAGACCTTTTATGGTATACCAACAACTTTGACCTCTTGACCTTGGAGATTTACGTACTTATGAAGAAACTTTAAACTTGACCATAATTTTTGAACGGTAAGGGCAAGGGGTTTCGTACTTCGTATATGTAACTCTTGTAAAAAGACCTTTCATTGGATATCAGGAACTATGACCTTGGAGTTTGACCTTCTTTTCAAAAACTTTGACCTAAGCCACAACTTTTGAATGGTACATACTAGGACTTTCCTATTTCACAATTTTTTTTTTGTAGCAAGACCTTTCATTGGATGCCAATAACTTTGACATTTTGACCTTGACCTTGGAGATTTATGTACTTATGAAAAAAAACTTTAATCTTGACCATAACTTTTGAATGGTAAGGGCTAAGGCTTTTTTTCTTCACATAATAATTGTAATCCTTTTGAGAAAACCTTTCATTGGATACCAAGAACTTTACCCCTTTGACCTTGACTTTGGAGTTGACCTACTTTTAAAAAACTTTAACCCTGGCAATAACTTTTGAACGGTTAGGGTTAGGGTTTTCATCGTTCACATAAGTATTACTTGTGACAAGACCTTTCTTAAGAACACTACAACTCAAACCCTTTCACCTTGGAGTTTGACCTACCTTTCAAAACTTTATCCTCGACTATAACTTTTGAACAGATGGTGCTAGGGATTTTGTATTTCACAATCGCATTTCTTGTGAGAAAAACCCTACTTTAGATAGTGATATATTTAATTTGCAATTAAGAAAAATTCAAGCCCTCATGTTTCACAAACACATCTTGTTCTTTATATTGAGAAGAGATAGGGCTTTCATATTTGACATGCGCATTACCTGTGACAAGATAATTCCGAGCATGCTATGATTTCTTACCCCTTGACCTTGACCTTGACGATTGACCTTATTTTTAAAAAAATATTAACTTCAATGATAATTTCTAAATAAATGACATATGATAGGGTGTGCATATTAGACACAATATGTCATAAAAAATAACATCTCACCCACAAAGACACCGAAAGCGGGGGACCACAATTCTTTGAAATGTACAAATTTAAAAAAATCCTTAGAAGTCGTGATAATTTGATTGTCTTTCATTAAAATATGAAATATTAGTAGCTATCTCGCAAAAATAAGCCTAAGATATTGCCAAAACTTGGTAATCTAGAGTACTTGAATATGTTAACACGCACCCCGGATATGCAAATGATGGGATCAAATACCTAGGAGGAGTAAACATCCTCTGCTCACAATTCAGTGACGTAGCATCTTTTTTGAAAGTTTTCTGGGGGCCAACCAGAAAAAAAATGACTCACCTGAAAAAAAGTTGTCAATCCAAAACAAAGAGGAAATTTGCCCAATCCTATTCGTGCGTGTGAGGGTGTGTGTGTGTGGGGGGGGGGGGGGTAGACGTTTTACTTATTTCTGTACCATTTTTAGGTCACCTGAGTAACTCAGGTGACCTATTGCTATCTGTTTTTGTCTGTCGTCGTCCGTCGTTCGTCGTCCGTCGTGTGTTAACATTTGAACATTTTCAGCTTCTTCTCTGAAACCACTGAACCAATTTCAACCAAATTTGGTATACAGCATTTATGGGTGAAGGGGAACAAAAATTGTGAATTTTATGGTCCCCGCCCCCCTGGGGCCTGAGGGGTGGGGCCAAAACCACCAAAATTATTGCAATCTTTAAAAATCTTCTTCTTTACTCCTGGACATCAAGCAGGAAAACTGTTGGCATGACTGTAATCAGCATTGAGTCCTCTACCAAAATTGTGAAATTCATGGCCCCAGGGTCAGGGGTTTTTGTGCTAGGGCGGGGCTATATAGATTATATAGTGAAAATGCATTATTTCTTTGAAAATCTTCTTCTCTGCTCTTGGGTATTAAGTAAACTAACTAAGTACATAGTTATGTTGAGCAAGAGTGCCTCTACCAAAGTTGTGAATTTTATGGCCCCAGGGTCAGGGGTTCTGGTGTTAGGGTGGGGCTCTATTGATCATATAGTGAAAATGCAATAATTCTTTGAAAATCTTCTTCTCTGCTCCTGGGTATTAAATAAACCATGTAAGTACATAGTTATGTTGAGCAAAAGTGCCTCTTCCAAAATTGTGAATTTTATGGCCCCAGGTAGGGGTTCTGGTGTTAGGGCGGAGCTCTATTGATCATATAGTGAAAATGCATTAATTCTTTGAAAATCTTCTTCTCTGCTTCTGGGTATTAAATGAACTAACAAAACACATAGTTATGATGAGCAAGAGTGCCACTTCCAAAATTGTGAATTTTATGGCCCCAGGATCAGGGGTTATAGTGTTAGGGCGGGGCTCTATTGATCAGATAGTGAAATGCATTAATTCTTTGAAAATCTTTAACTCTGCTTCAGGGTATTAAATAAACTAATTAAGTTCATAGTTATGTTAAGAAAGAGTGCCTCTTCTAAAATTGTGAATTTTATGGCCCCAGGATCAGGGGTTCTGGTATGAGGCGGGGCTCTATTGATTATATAGTGAAAATGCATTAATTCTTTGAAAATCTTTTCCTTTGCTCCTGTGTTTTATGCCAATGATCCAAGTATATATATCTATGATGAAGAAAGGTGCATCTAGCAAAATGGTTATTTTTTATGCCCCCGGTCGGGGGGGGGGGGGCTTCATAGTCTGAAAATAAATTAATGCTTTGATATCTGCTCTTTAGGTTTAATCAACCATTTTATGATAAAATTTGCAAAATTTTGAAATATGTGGCCCCAGGGTCAGTGGTTCCTTTGGGATGAGGTGTACAACTGGTTATAAAGTGGAAGTGCACTTTCTCTTTGTTACTCTGATCTACATCTGGGTATTTGGGTAAATAGAGTAAGCATGCTAAATTTATAATTATATTTGCATATCCACTGCTCTCTCCCACTCTAAACATGTGGTCATCAATTGCGTTCATAGGACTACAGATGCAATTGCTTTTGCTTATCCACTGCTCTCTCCCACTCTAAACATGTGGTCATCAATTGCGTTCATAGGACTACAGATGCAATTGCTTTTGCTAAGAGAGAAATTGCTCTATCAAATTCCTCTAGAACACTTCCTCTATTACACTTGTTCTTCTGTCGAGAAGTATATATATGAAACTTTTCGTAAAAGGAATAAAAATAAGTTTTTAATAATATTCTTTGAGAAAAAAGAAATTCAGAATAATTAAAATTGCTGATTTATATCTTTAAAAATTCAATTTTGGTCAATGTATTTAATTGTATGATAAAACTTTTCAAAAATTGTAGAAAACTGCCCTATTTTTATTTTTTGTATCATGCATATTTGTTCGAAGAACGATAACTCTTCACACTTGGGTAATAACATTCAGAAAACTAGTATAACTAGTATATCGACTTCAAGAATAATTTCAGCTATTAAGGTCAGTGTTGGGTAGTGGCCAACTTTTTTTTCAAAGACATATTATTTTCAATTTCAATTTTCCTACACAATTTTGTTATACAACTATGTATTGCTATTATTTCATATATCTGTGATTTTGTTCTTCATTAAAAAGTGGGGGGGCACAGACATACTCTTGCCCCCCCAGATCTGAAAGTGGGGGGGCTAGTGCCCCCGCTGCCCCCCCTGTGACTACGCCTATGACGTTGTTTATTTCTTAAATGATAAGCAATGGAGCCTCTTTCAAAATTGTGAATTGTGAATTTCATGGCCTCTGGTTTAAAACATGAACCAATTTTAATTGTTTGAAAGTTGTTGCATGATACTCAGGTGACCTATAAGGCCTGTGGGCCTCTTGTTTTCATACAATACTCCTACATGTATTTACCCTTATTTCATATTGCCGCACCAGAACGTGGGGGGCAACCGGCCTTTCAATGACCAATTTGAATAGTAAAAAGTTTGCTTGGGAAAAAAAAGGCAGGCCCTCATGCCGCCCCCACCCACTGTTGCTACGTGTCTGCACATCCGCTGTGATTCCTTTAAGTATTGATCAAGAGACTGAACATTCTGTAGTCAAATTCAGTATAAAAGCAAAGGCCTAATAATATGTATAAAACTAGAGCTGCAAGGTTCTGGGAGCGCTGAGCTCACTAAATGATATCTACTACTATATACCCTCCCATTTTTCAAGCTTGCGGGGAGGGGTTATAATGACAGTGTCCATGTTTTTGCTATGGAAACCCGAAGTATGTGTTCGATCAAAAACTAAAAGTGAGGGTGCAGAAGGGCACTAAGTAGCATAGTTTCTGTGAAAATCTCATCAAATTTAATCAGTGGCAAGCCAGGACTCCTGCAGTTGCGGGTAAAAGATGGGTATCCCAAAGCGTAACAGACGGACATCCCGATTACTACATGTATATACCCTTTCACTTTTCGAGCGGGGGGGGGGGGGGGGGGGGCAATGAACAATTATATATAATATTTGCTTACAATGCCACTATATCAAAAAAAAATTGCAAATGCTTACTTTGTTGAAATCCCTGTAACATCAATTTATTTGTCAGTAGCCTGTCTTGGTTATCTTGACCCAGCAATATACATCATGTATACTAGTATCTTTGTCAGAATTTTATCAGGGAATTCAGTACAAAGAGGGTAGATCAAACTCATCTTATTTAACTGGTATACTTAAAGTATTAACCACGGAGGTGTGATATTTGACGAATTTCTTCTTTGAACGTGCATGACTTGTAAGTATATGTGTATATGATTATGAGGGAGAGGGTTAGACTAGAGGTTAACACATTGAATAGAAAAGAGAAATCCTCGACAAAAAAAATGAATCTTGGGATATTTATTATTTAGATTGTATACTGTATACTGTTTAACGTCCCTCTCCAGAATATTTCACTGATATGGAGACGTCACCATTGCCGGTGAAGGGCTGCAAATTTAGGCCTATACTCGGCACTTAAAAAAACACCTGCTGTGACACGGGGCCTGAATATACGGTGGGATATTTAGTCGCCTTTTACGAGAAGCAGTTCAATACAATATTATTTAGAGAGTTAAAAACAAATAAGCTTTCTTTGTATAAAAATATTTGGGGTCGGAGAGTCCGTGTATGACCATTGGGGGAGGGAATTGGGGGCAAATTAGATTACACTGCATTTGCGTGAATTTAAATCGATATGAACTTTAAGGGACAGGTTACCCATGTTACCCATTCTGTTATCTTCACATCCTTGTTGCTATCACAAGGTTTGTTTGCTTTTAAGACTAATGCAAACAAACATTCAACGTCTCACTTTTCTTGTTATATTTTCTTCGTTTCCTAAAAACTACTGAAAACGCGTTAGATCAAATGCATTGCCGAACCTGCATGCTTGGTCATAGATAATTACATATTTCTCAAATGTTTAAATTCCTCTCTATTCCATGAAGAATTTCACCAGTAAAAATTAACCCTTTTACATCCCCCTTTTGATCCCGATACATAACCAAGTAGTCGTAAAATATTTATACATGTATAAACTAGCTATAGAGTACCATTTGGGGAAAAACGATGAACAAAAAGTTGTAACGCGCTTAATGCGGCAAAGGGGATTCTATGATTAAGCTAGAAACGTTGTAATATTTGTTCACATTGTATTCATCTTTCTTAGTTACACCATAATATATGTCATGTTTTAAGTCCTTTTTAAGGTATACTTTGTGTTTGATAAATTACAGGTGTAACTAGATTATTTGATTTTACCTATAGTATGATATACCGGAACTAAATAGACACTCGGTATGCATGGACCTATGGTAACCTGTTTTGTAGTCAAGTATGTTATAAAAAGAAAGTATTTTTTAAAAGAAAGAAATAACCCTTTTGCAGTCATAATTATGTACATCATATTTTGTGATTTTGACAATTAAAAATAATTATTTTTCAATAATCGCGAAGAAAAAACTATTAGACAGTTTATCTTCACCGACACACACACAAATCCAAACACCCATTCCCACGTGTGCGTATTTTTACAAATAAAAATTAATTTTGATTAAAACTTTGATTAATTAAATACAAAATTACCTGATATAAGACAGGAAAGGATACCCAAGAGGACCACTTGAATGTGAACAGTCATTTTTTATTACCGATAAACTCTGTAATAAGAAGCTTGTCCACCTGTACTTCTTTTACTCGTGAATGTTTTATCTTTAAAGTTCTCTTTGTTATTATATAATCTTCCTAGGGGATTTCCAGATTTCTCTGTTGTCTATGAAATCCGGATAGGGCCATGAAGCTCACAATCGCACCGTTGAGTTGAGTTTAAGCTCGATATCGATAGTGCGGTGACGATATAATGCGATGACAACGAAGCGATGGTGCATAATGACGATGAATTTATGGTTCGACGACAATGATGCGATGGCGCATCAATGCGTTGACAATGAAACGGCAGTGCGATGACGCAACAGCAATAGCAATGTTGTGATCACGATGGCGCAGTGATACATGCACTATGACGATGAAGCGATGTTCACTATCGCTCAATCGTGGTATCGCAACGTCGTCATCACATTGTCGCGCCATTGACCCTTAATTTAGCTGAATCTCGATGTCGCACGATAATGAATTTTAACTCTTGAAATGCAAGTATAGTTGTTGAATTTGTTATTTGGTAAACTTTTAAACAAAAAAAAAATCAATTGAAGGATGACTTTCTTAACAATTATAAGAAATGGTGGGATGGAAAACCCCTCTGTACAAGAGACCAACTGATGTTACAGTTAATCTTCATATGGAAGTTAATATGTGTGGGGGACATTGGTTCCTAGTGAAACGAGAAAAGAAAAATGAATTCATTCAAATGTGACCTCTCAAAACTCTGCAGTTTTTTTTTAACTTGAAGACTCTTACATATAATACATTTAAATATATCAAAGCAATATTTCATAGTTGTCATGGTGATGTGGCAGTCTGACTAAAGTCAGTCCCTACTATTTCACTGCGTTCGAAGTGAAATAGTTGGGGCTGGCTGTAGTCAGACTGGGTAATGTGGAATATACTGTTAGTTTTCGTTCCACAAATTACGGGAAAAATTGTATACAATTATTGTGATAAATTTTCAAGGGGAAAATATTTGACCAAGTGATTAGCTGCAGATCTGTAGTTGTCCGGAAAAAAAATATATTGACAGACCGGAGAGCAACAGATCTGCAGCTAGTATCGTATAATCTGGAAAATGAAAAAATAAGTCACAGGATGTGATTTTGGAAGACAATGGTATTCAAGAATAATTATGCCAACGTTTACAGTTCAAAAAACAGCGTTGTACTAATTTTACGTTGAACAAACGTAAAAATTATAATTTGATCTGAAAGCCAACTTTAGGCTTACGTTAGAAAATGAGTTGGCATTGGTATGTTAAAATAATGTTGTACATTACGTACGTCGACATTTCAACAAAAAAAAAGTGTCGTACAAAATTAACGTTGGTCCAACGTTACCAAATATTGACTCGGAATAACGTTACGAATCATACATGTAATTGTCCAAAATTAATTAAAAATAAGTTTTGTTATACATGTATACATATCCCATTTTCTCACACTGCCATGAAATTACCAAGTGCATGATTGTAACGATGATAAAGGGAGCGAAAAGATCATGATAAATGATTGTAAAATTGCAAGACTTTTCTCAATATTTATGATGAAACAAAATCCTTGGGACCTTCTTTTACCAAGCAAACAATTTGATTGCACTGCATCTACAGTGCATATTTCTGAAAACATTTTCCAATATGCCAGCATTTAAAAATCATTTCTTTGGTTCCTTTTTAGCTCACCTGAGCTGAAAGCTTAAGTGAGCTTTTCTGATCACCCCTTTTGGAAGCATTCTGCTGTAGTAGATTCTAAATTGTCAAACTTCACCCAAAAGGGTAGGTTGAGACCACATATTACAAAGTATTACAAGGGGGAAATCTGGTGAAGAACAGCATGGCCAAAGCTACTCAGGTGAGCATTGTGGTCCATGGGCCTCTTGTAAAATTATACAATGAAGAAGTATTTATTTATATAAATAGAGTATTTTAGAAAAATTCTGAAAAATATACTATAATTAAATTTACAATCAAAATTGTTTATATGAAGCGCAATACAAGAAATTAAATCTAAAACCGGGAAACATACCAGAATGCCAATTATAGATAGTACTCAAAGAAATTTTTGCATAAATTCAACATTTAATGCAATACACAGTTCCATTTATTCAACAGTATAAAGCACAGACTTGCTAAGGCACTATTACAAATAAAAAGGCTGTACAACATACACTGTATTTGAATTGATTTTAAATTGTCATAATATTGTACCTTATTTATAATTCATTTGATATAACTTAAAATGAACAGCATTAATATGCATTGTTGGAATGTAAATGAAAAAAGTAGAAAAAATAAAATTATCAAATATCAATATAAAATCACAGCTGTATTAAATATAAATACTTCAAATCACATACGGCAAATTAATTTACCTCCACAGTTGAACTTCATGAGCACAAATCTTGGTTCTATTGCACTTTTAACACTAAAATATCATGACCTATGATAAACAGTGTAGTTCTGATATTATTTAGTTTGAGAGCAAATCATTTTAACTGACATTAATTTTGATTTTTATAATTTAAAATATACTTTCACATAATTCTGTTTTGATTGTTCATGTATTAAACTAAGTAAGGAAGACAGGATTTTCTTTTTATCAAATAGTATAAAATTGAGACATGTGGTCACACACATTTGGTTTTAGTAAAGGGGGAATGATTCAACAGCAATGCTTTCAATAGAACACTCGTCAGTGCCCCTCCTGATTCTGAAGTACCCGTCCTCCCCCCAGCCTGTACCCCAGGAGTTCTTTATCGTCCAGAACTTGACCCCAGTGGCGGCGTCCACTCCATACCCCACCAGCAGCACCGCGTGGTTGGTGATCTCAAATGGATTGAATTTTTCCTGGAGTCCTGTGTGAACATAGACTCCTCCTTTATAATGCATGAAATCATTATACACTTCAAAGGACACTGCCATGGGGCCATTCTTGATCAGATTTATCATCATAAGTTCTTCATTACACCTGAAAATTCAACAGAAAAGTTAAGTATACTAGTAGATGGCTGCATGGTAAAATTTAGATAACTGGAAAGAAATGTCATACAAGAAATTGCTGGTCTAAAATATATTTTTGGAATCAATTATCAGGGAATTTTTCGGCAAATTTGTTACTGAAGATGACCAAACCAACAATTTCCTAGTTTTGTAACATTAATTTTGATAAAAAAAAAAAAATGAACAATTAGAGTTTATGTGAAATTCATAGTTAGCGGCAAATTTAGCAATTTTCATTATAAAAAAATTAGTATTTTTAAAGAAAAATTTTTGCCATTTTGTAATGCTTAGCAATTAAAGCCAAGTCATCTTCAGTATGAAATGAAACAAAAGCAATATATTTAATTTTACCAAACCCAACATCTTCATTAAACATAGGTAATCAGAGATTACAGAGCTCACCTCAACAAATGTTGTCTTTTAGTAAGGCAAAGTCACACAATTACCAAACAATGTGTACATTCAATAAAATTTATGCAATTTTGAAATATACTTTGGAATAACATATAAAAACTTCATAGTGTTCATCAGAAAATGTGATCAAAATTCACAATTTTATGAGTTTTCATCACTTGATGCATCATTTGGGCAAGTTTGGTTTATTTAAGCCTTATAGTTTCTTGGTGATAGACCTGCAATAGCTTTTACAATTTTAGTCCATTTAAAATGTATGTCGAAGTTCAGCATCCGAAGCAAGTCCATTGACATACATGTATCATCCATGTGAGTTTGCACAACATAGGGCTAATCATGCTAATAGTGACTTAGAAATGAAACCTGCATAAAAATTTTACCTCTTAACTCATCCAGAAAACCAGAAGTCTCTGTCGAGACTGTAGCTCTACGGGTTTGTACTTATCAAAAACCATTGCACTATTTTATGTATCTTTTTTCTACTTGTGTGCCAAATTTTGAAATCAAACTAAAAAAAGGAGTAGCGTTTTAAAGGAATTTCACAGAAAATTCATTTTTGTAACCATGGTAACACCGTTCATCGAAGTCAAAAACCGATGCACTATTCTATGTATCTTAGTGTAGTCTACTTGTTTGCCAAGTTATTATAATGAAATCAGACCAAAACTGTAGAATGTAACACAATGACAGCCGAGTAGTGTCACAAGAAGGAGCAGTGATTGGGAAGGGCTTGCGCCACGCGCCATAGTCGCATTGAAGTGAAAAATGGCGCATTAAATCAATCAATCATGGCGCCAAGGTGCGCATTTAATTTTTAGCGATGCTGTTTGGAAATATTTTGCGTACAACTTTCTTTCTTGTTTTTACTTTCGTTTTAAATGCAGTCAATTTAAAACAACAAATCTCATTGCTTGAAACCTGTCAAAAAGTACTTCCGGTTAAACGAAGCACATACATGAGGTACAATAACTTCATTCATTTGTATGGTAGGGCTGTTCCCTTTCCAAAACTGTTGTAATTTAAACACAAAATTCGGGTCAGTTATATTCTAAGCAAGTGCTTTTAAATTTGCTGCATTTCATGCTTTGAAAATCGGATTCGGTTAATTAAAAACGTGTTTTGTCTCGTATTTGATATTTGTTTGTCACTTTGTTATTTCTTAAAACGGCCCTTCAGATTACATTGATGGCCCATTTATTTTCGAAATGGCCCATCAAAAATGTTGACAGTTGCGCCATAGTCCCATTGACCATTTTGGCCTTTCCGATCACTGAAGGAGTAGCATTTTAAAGGAATTTCACAGAAAATTCTATTTTTAGTAACCATGGCAACACCGTTCATTGACATTAAAAACCAATGCACTTTTCTATGTATCTTAGTGTAGTCTACTTGTCTGCCAAGTTATATTGAAATCAGACCAAAACTGTAGAAGGAGTAGCGTTTTAAAGGAATTTCACAGAAAATTCTATTTTTAGCAACCATGGCAACACCGTTCACCGAAATCAAAAACCGATGCACTATTCTATGTATCTTAGTGTAGTCTACTTGTCTGCCAAGTTATATTGAAATCAGACCAAAACTGTAGAAGGAGTAGCGTTTTAAAGAAATTTCACAGAAAATTCTATTTTTAGTACCCATGGCAACACCGTTCATCGAAATCAAAAACCGATGCACTATTCTATGTATCTTAGTGTAGTGCTTGTGTGCCAAGTTATATTGAAATCAGACCAAAACTGTAGAAGGAGTAGTGTTTTTAAGGAATTTCACAGAATATTCAATTTTTAGTAACCATGGCAACATCGTTCATCGAAATTAAAAACCGATGCACTATTCTATGTATCTTAGTGTAGTCTACTTGTGTGCCAAGTAATATTGAAATCAGACCAAAATTGTAGGAGGAGTAGCGTTTTGAAAAATTGTTTACAGACAAGATAGAGGATGGACACATGACTATCGCATAAGCTCTTCTAGTCTCTGACCAGTAGAGCTAAAAATGTAGGTCAGATTCAGCATCTGAAGCCAGCCTGGTAGAATGCAACCTTAGATGCATCATCCATGCAACTTTGGTCATTAAAGAGCTCATAGTTACTTGGAAATGAACCCTGCATCAAAAACTTGAACCTGTTCACTCACCCAGAAAATGTAGGTTAGATTCAGCATCCGAAGCAAGTCTGGTAGTATGATCCTATGATGTATCATCCATGCAAGTTTAGTCATTATAGGGCTCATTATAACTTGCTTATAAACCTGCCCCAAAAACATTAACCTGTTCACTCAACTGGAAAATGTAGGTCAGATTCAGCATCTGAAGCAAACCTGGTTATGTGCATCCTTAGATGTATCATCCTTGTAAGTTTGGTCAACATAGGGCTTATAGTTACTTGGAAATGAGACCTGCACCAAAAACATTAACCTGTTCATTCAACCGGAAAATGTAGGTCAGATTCAGCATCCGAAGCAAGTCTGGTAGTGTACATCCTTAGATGTATCATCCATGCAACTTTGGTCAACATAAGGCTTATAGTTACTTGAAAATGGAACCTGCACCAAAAACATTAACCTGTTCACTCAACCGGAAAATGTAGGTCAGATTCAGCATCCGAAGCAAGTCTGGTAGTGTACATCCTTAGATGTATCATCCTTGCAACTTTGGTCAACATAGGGCTTATAGTTCCTTGGAAATGAGACCTGCACTAAAAACATTAACCTGTTCACTCAACCGGAAATTGTAGGTCAGATTCAGCATCCGAAGCAAGTCTGGTAATGTGCATCCTTAGATGTATCATCCATGCAAGTTTGGTCAACATAGGTCTTATAGTTCCTTGGAAATGAGACCTACACCAAAAACTGCACCAAAAATGTTAACCTGCTCCAAAAACATTAACCTGGTCATTCTTTTGCTGAAATTGCAGCATTTGAAACTTTGACCTGGTACAATGAAACACATTAGAAGCATCTTCCATGCATGTCTAATCAAAATAGGACATAGAAGTACTTAAAAAGAAAACTGCTCCAAAAAACTTAACCTGGGACACAGGCGCCGACATCGAGGGTATTACATAAGCTCCCCCAACTTCGTTGAGGTGAGCTAAAAATGTTTAAGTCCAATTCTTGCTGAAAAATTCTGCTTATATGGTATAACTTACGCTCCATAGAATCCCCCCACGTATTTATATCTGTAGGAGTACTGACGTGGACAGCTCTGGTCAGTGGAACACTTTCCGTCCTTTCCTTTGTAAGGATTACATTTCTCCTCCACAAGTCCAAAGTCCTCCGCGTATTTCCCTCCAATTAGGTAAGGGAATCCACCTTCACACCCTATAATTGAAAAGGGTATGTGTAATTGTGAAAGTTTACATGTATACAAGAATAAGTATGATGTAATATAATTTACTCTGTGAAAAGAAAACTGACTTTAAGGTAGGACTAAACACCCGTGGATTCTATTTTAACCCAATTCTTAAAAAGTACTGGAGAAAAAAAGAATAATATTACTATATTGACAACAATGAATGATCCCTGTAAGAAAAATAATAAGTTTTGGCATGTTTGCGTCATATTTTGTGAGAAAATCAGAGAATCCTATATATTGGTCACTTGGGGGCTTACATTTTGGAATGTTTTTATGCTAACTACCGTAAGTGTAATAAACAAGCATGTGACAGTCTGTTATAAAATGCAGTGTAACTTTTGTTCCATACATATTAGAGGAATGATATTTGAACATATCTATAAGGAGTCTTTATTCTTTATGTACTACTAAGGTCAAAGTCATAACAAGAGGTCAAAGGTCAAATATTGTGACGTCATCTACTGAATCTTTAAGTTTTTTGCCATTGAAATTTTTTTTATCGCAAAAATATCTAAAACCACCGGTTCAATTTTCTTTACCTTTACACATTTTATTCTAGGACCCATTTGATTCATTCTGTTGATTTTTTGTAAAAATTGAAATATACATTTTCTCTTAAGAAAACTTAAACTGTCGGATATTTACATGAAAATTTTCAATTCCGACGCTACGTATGTTCTATTTTTACTTAATATTTTACTCAAATTTTCCAGTATCAAGTTGACTTACTAACTGAAAGCAACAAAAAGGTTATCTTTATTAAAAGTATTACACAAATTTGCAGTAGATCAATTGATAATTCTAAAATCAGGCTAATTCTCAAGTCGAATGTCTGATTTTTCAATCTTCTTACAGGGGTCTGATAAGCCATATTTCAGACTATGTGGGCAAGAAATGTGTGGTTGAAATTCTTTCATATCATATATAAAGAGATTTTGTATCCTAGAACAAAATATCAAAGTTTCAGAAAAATTGAATTTGAGGAAAAATTTGGTCTATCTATTGTGTCCTACCTTAAAGTCATCATACACCAAATACTCATCTACAGTATACATAACTGAACTAAAAAAAAATTCTGAGATTTGATCCAACACACAATTATAGTAAATGAAGTATTCCGGTTGGCCAATTCCTTTACTAATACATTTATCTTTTACTGATATAAAAAGGGACTGTTGTGATTACCCTGAGAATATTCGCTGCATTCTACAATGTCTTGAGTGGAGAACACTGGTTGTTCTGTGTTATTGGTCCTCATTCTCCAGCGAGCTTCATTCATACCCAGGGAAGAGAAGGCATAGCAGCTACCACAACCCCCTACAACACATCATCAACAGGTACTTTATTTTTACATCTATATTACAATGGAACAAGTATAATTACATAGGATTTACAATTAAGGCATTCAGCACTAGTCTTTGTCATGTTTGAACTTATAATAAAGATCAGCCTGATGTTGATGTGAATTTATCAGAGCACCAGACCTTGATTCCTGACTGGGGAGACAAATCCTGTAGTTCTCCAATCAAATGACTCGGGTAGTTTTTGGGCTATTCTCTTTACTTCTTCACTTACTGGAGCTGGCTTTGGTATCCTGCCATTGAGAGATGAATCAATTAAAATACTATTACCTTTAATACCTGCAGTAATTAATACAACTGTACATGTAAAATATTTGAACTGTCTTTTTATTATTTTTATGTCAAAAAATTAAAGTGAATTTTGGAAATTTTTTTTGCATCGATCATTAAAGGAATACAAAAAGACATTTGAAATGAAAGTATTTTTTTTTTATTTATTTGAATTTGGTGAATCTAAAAAAATACTTTTCACTATACTGTGAAATCGCTAATTTTTGTGGAGGGTTTTTGTTGTTTTCGAGAGACCTACCAATTTTATAACCACCACAAAATGTAAAATTTGACAGATCAATATTTTTTCCTCAATCCTAAAAATCTGACCCTACGTGCATGATTTTACTGTAAATGCTGTAAAAATTGATCATTAAAGCATATTACCCAATGATTTTTGATTTCCTGCCCCCAGCTCTTTTCACCAGATCTTCGAGTGTCATGTCCTCCATTTCCCTGTAGGCTACAGCCTTCCACAACTTCTGTTTCTGGTTGATTTGGTCAATGAAATCATAATTAGTTCGGAACTTTAAAATTTAACAAGAGGTCCAGGGGCCACAGCGCTCACCTGAGCACATCAGCTAGGAAAAAGCATAAATCATGATTTGGACGAACTAGAATCTACACTACCTGAGGATAATTCTACATAAATATTACTAATTATGGCTTTGAAGTACTTGAAAAGAAGATTTTAAAAGGTTTCCCTATATATTCCTGTGAAATTTTTGGTCCGCTGGGTATTTGAAAATTTGAATCTACACTACCTGAGGATAATTTCACATGAGTTTCATCTTTCCTGGCCCAGTGGTTCTTGAGAAGAAGTTTTTTGAAGATTTTTCCTTCATATTCCTATGTAAAACTTTGATCGGACATTTTGGCCCCATCCTACCTCCTGGGGTCATGATTTGAATAAATTTGAATCTACACTACCTAAGGATAATTTCAGAGGAGTTTCATCTTGCCTGTCTCAATGGTTCTTGAGAAGGAGATTTTTAAAGATTTTTCCTATAAATTCCTATGTAAAACTTTGATCGGCCATTTTGGCCCCACCCCACCTCCAGGGGTCATGATTTGAACAAAATTGAATCTACACTATCTGAGGATGATTCCACATGAGTTTCATCTTTCCTGACAAAGTGGTTCTTGAGAAGAAGATTTTTAAAGATTTTCCCTATATACTCCTATGTAAAACTTTGATCAGCCATTTTGGCCCCATCCTACCCCCAGGGGGATTTAAACAAACTTGAAATACTATCTGAGGATGATTCCACATGAGTTTCAATTTCCTGCCCAGTGGTTCTTGAGAAGAAGATTTTTAAAGATTTTTCCTATATTTCCTATATGTAAAACATTGATACCCTACCCCCGGGGGTCATGATTTGAACAAATTTGAATCTACACTACCTGAGGATGATTCCACATGAGTTTCATCTTTCCTGGCCCAGTGGTTCTTGAGAAGAAGATTTTTTAAAAATGCCATTAATTTTTCTTAAATTCATAATTATCTCCCCTTGGGAAAGGGCGTGGCCCTTCATTTGAACAAATTTGATTCCCCTTTACCCAAGGATACTTTGTAGCAAAATGTGAAAAGTTCAAAAAGCGACAACAACGACGACAGACAACGGACAAATTTTGAAGATTTAGGTGAGCTACAAAGCAATAAGATATACTTCAAGGACAGGGTTGTCCCTGAGAATTGAAATAGAAGGGGACAATAAGAAAGTAGAAGGATTTAAAATTGGGTTCCTCTCTTAATTGGGAGTTTAGCAGGAATAAAAAAATTCTCAGGGTATTACACTATTTTAGATTGGGAAATTCCCTGGCACCTGGATAATCCTGCTACAGGGAGTTAAGTATTTCTATAAATTTCTTTAACCATGTATGTTTTGTAACCCATAAATAGCAGCCTATTATTAGGATCCTAAGTGAGAATTTAAACATTGAACATACTCAGAAGAATGCCTCTCTGGAATGACATGATACTTTGGGGGTACAGGTGTGGTTTTCTGTCCCTGGAAACAGGCCCAGTTCCTCTCCAGCACGTCGTGTGTCCACCCTGGCAATGTTTTCCCACACTGGCTGGTCACATGACTCCCATTTTTTTGATAGGCAGAAAAGGCAAAATATTTTCTTCCTCCAATATTAACTTCAAATCCCTGTAATCGAGTGAATAAAATATTTAATTTGATGCTCTATAACAATTTCATGGAAAATTGATTAATTATAGCATTCAACATTCCTTGTCAACTTCAGAATGACTTTTTTAAAAAGGAATCATATAAAAATTTTGAAAGTACATATGTAATCCTGTCTTATATCAAATAAGGACAAATAATACAACCCTTTTCCAAAAACCATAATATTATTAAAACATTATACATGTATTGTCATGTAATGTAAATAGATTATGTATGACCATATAGCTGTTGCTCTTAATTCTTTTCATTCAAAATTTTACTGCAAGTCCTCCAATAAAGTGAAAAAAAATATTGTACAGTTTTTTTTTTTTTTTTTTTAATTATTGTGATAACAGGAAGGTAGAATTTTGAACAGATCAACATCATATAAAGTTTACAATATCATAATATTTTAGGAATTTGATTACTACAACCAAATTAATTACATGTCCACTAGGCATCACCGCTTCTTAATTCATGTTGACTGTTTAAAATTCCATTATGGCTGCATGGAGAAAGGAGTCAAAATGTAATGTGTACATATTTCTGTTACATGTAATTATACTGTATATACATATTAAATTCCTTATAATCATGATAATTTATACCTGGTTGTAGATGAGTGTCCAGAATCCAGTGTTTCCTTGGTCATCTATGGCCACATCAGGGAACTTCAAGGTCACATAAAAAGTGGATTCCGCTGTGAGAAAAAGAAAGCTGCATCAACAATTTTACTTCTTAAACATTAATGTCAATGATGTAAACCTCTCAATGGCTCTCATAGCAACAAGTCATATATCTTTAAATAAAAAACCTGCATCAATACATACAACTTTTACAGTATGCTTCATTCTAGCATCAATTGAATAGAAATTAATTTTCTGTTTTTGGAAAAAGGATGGAATGGAGGTATTTAATTTATATATATGGAGCTTAAAAGTACACAAATTGATTTGATGTACTCTGTCCAATTAATTAACACCAGGAATAAAACTTGAAATGTTGAGGAAAATTCACGAAATTTTCTTTCCAATCTCTAAGCTGCATGTCATGCAGATGTCTCAATCAACATTAACTTTCTGTGTTCAGTTGTTCAAAATGATAAGATTTTACAATCACCTAGCTAGGATATATATTTTCATCAGCTATATTTATTATTTTGAAATAATTAAAAACATAATTGTTAGTGAAAATATAAAAAATCTCTGGTTGTTTCATATAGCTGCAGAACTGTTAAGCGTTATGGTTTTGTATATTAGTCTTTGACCATAATGCTACAGATCCCGTTATGCAAAAAAGGTGCAATTTAAGGCGCAAGATTTTTTGCGCACTTTTGGGGAGAAATTCTCAACTTTCCAGCATATTGCATGGTCAATCAACTACCGTTCACTCCCTAATTTTAGACACCAATCTGTATATTTTATCCACCTCCCAATCCTTTATAGTAGTCTCTACAGGCGATATATAACTTGCAGTCGCTTGAGGTAAATTTTCAGCAATCCAACAGCTGTTTATCAGTTGCAGGGACGACTAAAAAGGGTTGGGAGGTGGATAAAAAAATATAGATTGGTTAAAGAATGTGTCTAGAATTAGGGTCCGAGTAAAAAATAGCTGATGTGAATAATTTTTACCCAAAAGTGCGCAAATCTTGCGCTGTAAATTGCACCTTTTTTGCATAAACAGGATCTGTACGGTCAAAGACTAATATACAAAACCACAACGATATAGTTCTGCTTAAGTTAACATTCCCTATGATATCGGAGTGTCCAGTAGTAATGTATTAACTATATGTGTCATAATTCTCACTCAAGTTCTCTGACTCAACAACTGGTGAGTATTATTCAACATTACTTCTCCAGTTTACCTAAAGCTTCTGAATCGCACTTGATGGTCTTGTCATGCCCCCTGCTTCCAACCTGGAACATCCATCTTCCTTGAACATCTTCGTATGTGCAATTTGCTGGAGTATCTGCAAAAACTGCAGCAAAGAAAGACAGAAAACACACGAAGAACAACATACTACTTCTCTATCCCTCCCCGTTCACCTGACTGAAGTAACGATGTTCCTGTCACATGCGATTTCGTCTGCACAAAATTAATATGATTATATTTTTACGATTTGTATGTTGAGTACCCAAATTTATACTCTGTTTGAAAACCCCCCAGACAATTTAGCTTTTATGTTTTAAATTTTATAGTTATCAGCTAGTATGCTTGTAGATTTGACCTTCAAATAACATGGTAAATTATTTTTAAAGGACTAAAGAGTGTAGAGTCCTTTTTCGTTTTGTCTAATGCAGACTCTAAAAGAAAGGTGTTATGACCTTGCCCTTTGTCATGTGATTAATCTGTCTGTGTGTCGCAGGAAGAAACATCAGAAAATAAATATTGGATTGGGCATCTAGTTTTAGAGACAAAATGTTGGCCCTATTTCAAAGAATTCTAGATTGGTTCAAAAGTTTATTTTGGAAGGAAGAGATGGAATTAACTTTAGTCGGGCTCCAGTACTCAGGGAAAACAACATTCGTTAATGTCATAGCTGTAAGTGTGTAACTCCGCCTACAAATGATAATTATTTTTAATCCTGGTTTTATGTCATGTAAAATATGTAACGAATGGATTTAAATTTTATGTCATTTTTTTTTCATATAAATTGATGAATTTTTTTGTGTCTTGAATTATGCACATTTTGAAGGTTCAGATAATACATGTACATGATGTACAAATACACAAGTATTACAAGTGTAACAGGAAAGGAGAAAATGTATGGCTGGACCGCGAATCGAACCTAGGACCCCTGCATCACTAGTCATATACTCTACTAACTGGTCTCTCCAGACAAATTTCCATGACCCAAACCATTACTTGAAATTCCACCCTCCTTAACAGCTTAAAATGTTTTTCGCTCTCAAAGACTCAACCCTATTAAGTTCTCATTAGCCCCCTAGTAGGAATTCACCTGCAGTTCCTGGGGTGTTCAATAGCACCAAATCTGTTACAGGAAAGGATATAATGTATGGCTGCACTGGGAATTGAACCCAGGTCAACTGCATCACTAGTCAGGTCAACCGACTGAGCTATCCAGGTGACATCCATATCAATTAATTTTGTAAATGCCATTGCCATTCCACATGAAAAAAAAAAATATTGAAAAAATAAAAGATTTATTCACTTAACTGTGGTCTGAAAACCAGCCAGAGAACTTACTAAATAGTTTCTTCCACCTGTTTGCATTCAAACAAGTCAGCATACTTTCAATGCCATCAATCATTTACAATATCATCCGATTTGGCTGGTACAAATGCAGGCCTCTGAATTTCATTTTTAAAGAGGGCGTTGCCAGACACAGTCATTTTTCCAAGTTAGCTTTAATCTGTTTTTTTTTTGTAATGTTTATTAATGAGAATAAATATATATATATTTTTTAGAATAAATATTTCTAGTCGCATTCTAATTCATGGAAAGTTCTAGCATCATCTGTAAATTTATTTTTTATCAAGTATCTGATTTTCATTCTACTATGCTGAGTCAGCCCAAGCCAAAAAAATGCACTTTTTTTGCATGTTTAACTTTGAAGATATATAAAGCTGTACAATTATCTTCAGGTTTGCCTTAATACTTACTTCCTTTTTATCTTCCTTTGTTGATATTTTTTGTAATTCCACTGTTAAAGTATTTGACATAAAAAAGTTCAAGTCAGAAACATGAAACCTGAATTAAAATTTGTTATAGATCTGAATAAAGAATTTATGCCAGATGTTCAATTTTTCCACTTTGATCTTTAAACATGTGGTTTTAATACTTACATAATTCAGTGAAAGTGTGAAAAGGAAATGCTTCATGTTAATTCTTCAATAGGGAAATACTCCTTGCGCAAACTGTTCAGTATAGAGGTTGCATTATATACCCTTCTCACATTCTGAGAGATTTCAAAATGTATGCATAATATATTGTTTATATATCACAACTATTTTTCATGATTTTAAATGTATAACTTAAATCATGTTGTCACTAAAATAATGGTATCTGTACTTTTTTTTCACAGTCTGGGCAATTCAGTGAAGATATGATTCCCACGGTTGGTTTTAATATGAGAAAGATTACAAAAGGAAACGTCACAATAAAGGTAAACAAATTAAATACTGACAATCATCACTGATCATTGTCAAATGTTTTGTATTATAAGCATGATAAGACTAAGTATATTATGTCAAATTGATGAATGAATGTTCTTACAGCTGTGGGACATTGGTGGACAACCAAGATTCAGAACAATGTGGGAAAGATACTGCCGTGGAGTTAATGCTATTGTGTAAGTTTCTACACTTTTGAATTCAGTATTTCAATACTGTATACAGGATTATTTTCGCCCCATGTTATTTTCACCCTTTCACACTTCCAAACAATTTTGCCCCTTTCAAATTCACCCAGTTATAGTTTTGTTTAAGAAATTATACTGTATTCTATGAGTTTGGCCTGTTTTAAATTCGCCCAAATGAGGGTAGGGCGAAAGGGGTGAAAATTTCCCTGTTTATGATGCTTTGGAGGAAGTCTACTTTGAAGGATATATTGAACAATCAAACTGAATTTAGTTCATCATGATGTGACTCACTTACATTGTGTCATACAACAATTGATAATTTTCTGGAGCATGTTCAGTTTATGGTGCAAAAGTCAACGATATTCTTATTAATAAGTTAATGTACATGAGAGGAATTTGAGAACTTTGCATGAAAATAGCTGTAATACAATTTACCCAAGATGCCTATGGGTCAGCTGCCACAGTGCTCATGCACCTGAGGAACTTAAGCATTAGCATTCCTTCCTTTTATGAAGTATTGTGAAATTAAATCCCATAAATATTTTTTGAGGGACAGACAGAAGGCTGAACAATCACTGGACAATAAGTGAACATTAAAAGCTCACCTGAGCTTGTATCACAAGGGAGCTAAAAACAAGAGATTTGATTTGTAGATACATGGTAGATGCTGCAGATCATGATAAGATAGAACCCTCAAAGAATGAGCTCCATCACCTGCTAGACAAACCCCAGCTTCAGGGTATTCCAGTATTAGTGTTAGGTAACAAGAGGGACTTACCAGGGGCACTAGATGAAAAGGAGTTAATAGAAAGAATGTAAGTTTTACTTTGTATAAGCTTTTCTCAATTTTGGCCAAATATGATGAATGTTATAAATATCCAAGGCCAAACTAAGGAATGCAATAAGATTAATTTTTTGTCTCAATATAATGAATGTGTTTATGATCTAATATGAACATTTCTATATTCCTTTTATTTTTTCCAGGAATTTATCGGCCATTCAGGACAGAGAAATCTGTTGTTATTCTATATCCTGTAAAGAAAAAGAAAATATTGGTAAGTAAATGTACTAAGTAAATGTACTTACTGTAAATACAGAAGATATGGATACTAGAATAAATATATTATGTAAATATAGAAAATATTGATAAGTAAATGTGTACTATGAATACCATACCAAAAATATTGGGAAGTAAATAAATACTGTATGTGTACATAGTTTGGTAGGGATGTGCGATTTTATCGGTATACCGGTATATCGCAATTTTTTGTTGCGTGATACGTATCCCATAGAGAGTCATATACCGGTCTTTAGATACATATTATAAAGTCCAGAAATTATTCATTTATTTGTTCAATATTTCAAATTACAATTAAAGAAAGAATAAAAAATGTTGTAAAAAGTGAAAAGAATGGCATTTTACCGTCCAAACATAATGGATTTTATATACATAAAAGTTTTAAGAAGGTAAAATTTTGTTTTTCTTGCATATTTTTTTGGAAAAATAATGACTTTTCATTTAAAATCATTGTAAAAACTGCTTTAAGAAATATCATGTTATTATCGTGATATTGCGGGAGAAAATCGTGATATATCGCGAAACGAAATTTTTGGCGATACCCGTCCCTATAGTTTGGTGTATTCAAAATTTAGCGCAATCAATGGTTATGGAGTTGTTGGCATAATCATGAATTAGCGCTACACGTGTCTGTGCTGTATATTCTACCTATAAATTATTTCTTGGCGGTATTCATGAATTAGGGCATCATTGTCTGCGCCGTCAAAGCCGCTAAAATATAAAGCCCGCTATTTTAAGTACACATACAGTACTTCTAGATGTAAATTATTAGTAAGTAAATTATTAGTAAGTAAATGTATTTAGTGAACAAATGTGATGAATTCATTTGCAATAGTTTCTCGAAAAATGACACAGTGTGCGTCTTTTTACACATTTTATAAGAACTTAAAAAAAGAACTGTTTTGATTATTAAGCATTATATTTTTTTTTTTTGCAGATATTACATTACAGTGGCTAATACAGCACTCAAAATCTGGACGATAAGACAACATGCAGAGTAGACAACAGTTTTTTCCTTTATAAAATACCAATGCATTATGGACAACAAACAAAAGACTTGATAGACTCAAAAAGTTTTCTGACAGAAAAAAAACAGGGTTACTGCCCTTTGCTTGTCGGTGAGCCTTCCAAACAGATGAAGATTCAAGTAAAACAGTTTTATCGTGGGTATTTAGCACAAACTAAGTTAAAGACATTGAATGTTGTGTATTATTTGATACAAAACTATTTGCGTGATTGTTTACACTATGTATATATGTATGGGCTGGATGTATTTTTTTTTGGTTGCTTTTTTTAAATAAATCAATAATGCAAAATATGTATATTAAGCTGTGTATGGAGTATGTATGTTTTTGGAGTCTACATGTAAGTGTAAAGGCAAAAGTAGAAATGTTTTGAAAGTTATTTTGATAGGAATGCAAGGGAACATAATACAGAAGGGAAAAACAACCTGTATGCAGTAGCTTCAGCATGTTTTTTTTTTTAATTATTGATGTATTGAGTCAGTTTGGTAGTTGAATGCTTTGATGCTTGTATTGAATTTCATTTGATCATAAATCATAACAATTGAATAACCATTCCAAAACAAAATGTAATTATATTTGGTGTATTTTGAACATAGCTGTAATTAAGCTTTCCCTTAGGATTTCAGAGTTGCAGAAAAAAAATTGTTTGAATTGAAGTTGTACTATGTGTTCTGAGTTTGTTAACTTATGTTTGAATACAAAGTTTGACTTTACAACTGAAACAGGTACATAGTAAGTGCAATATTGATGAAGAGGAAAAGTTCGCATTTAATAAAGGTTGATTATTAATTCTTCTATTCCTGAAATGTATTGTGGCAAAATTGGGTGCACAAAGGTACTAATGATGTAATTTTTTTAGCAATACTTTTCTGAAGAACATTTTTGAGCTTGGTGAGAAACTAGAAGTATAAAGCAAAAGGTTAGATTGTAAAGAGTATTTTCTATGAGAGAAAAAGGAATGGAAAATTTTGACTAGATTTTCATGAAGGAGTAATATAAGTATTGATAGATATGCAAAACATTTAATGTTAGTATTGGTTGTATACATATATGTTGTAAATTGGAGAGCTGAACAATATGATTACAAAATTCTTGTGAAAATGGTATCTTTTCCCGTATTAAAGTAAAATTATTTTGTTTACCATACTGTTCTTTCACTGATTTGAATAATTCTCTTTAATTTTTGCCATAGTTTTTCAGAATGTCTTTATGTTGGTGTTAGAACATATTATTACATATACAACAGGTTTCAGCATACCAGGTATATTTTGATTTTATTGGTATTTTCAGTAAGATATGTACTACCTATTAATCTTTATGAAGACCAGGAATTTCACTACTGATTATAAAAAATATCAATAAAATTGATTACGCATGCACACACCAATCTTGTATAAAGCATTCTGTTATTCTCTATATAAAGCAGAAATTTTAGAAGGGATTCAATTTTTAGCTCTACTGGTCAGAGACCAGAAGAGCTTATGCGATAGTAATGCGTCCGTCGTCCGTCCGTCTGTCTGTCTGTCTGTCTGTCTGTCTGTCCGTCTGTAAACAATTTTTCAAAATGCTACTCCTCCTACAGTTTTGGTCTGATTTCAATATAACTTGGCACACAAGTAGACTACACTAAGATACATAATTCTGTGTATCGGTTTTTGATTTCGATGAACGGTGTTGCCGTGGTTACTAAAAATAGAAATTTCTGTGAAATTCTTTCAAAATGCTACTCCTCCTACAGTTTTAGTTTGATTTCAATATAACTTGGCACACAAGTAGACTACACTAAGATACATAATTCTGTGTATCGGTTTTTGATTTTGATGAACGGTGTTGCCGTGGTTACTAAAAATAGAAATTTCTGTGAAATTCTTTCAAAATGCTACTCCTCCAACAGTTTTAGTCTGATTTCAGTAAACTTGGCACACTAGTATTAAGATACACAATTCTGTGTATCGGTTTTTGATTTCGATGAACGGTGTTGCCGTGGTTACTAAATTTTCTGTGAAATTCTTTCAAAATGCTATTCCTTGTACAGTTTTAGTCTGATTTCAATATAACTTGGCACACAAGTAGACTACACTAAGATACATAATTCTTTGTATCGGTTTTTGATTTTGATGAACGGTGTTGCCGTGGTTACTAAAAATAGAAATTTCTGTGAAATTCTTTCAAAATGCTACTCCTCCAACAGTTTTAGTCTGATTTCAATATAACTTGGCACACAAGTAGACTACACTAAGATACACAATTCTGTGTATCGGTTTTTGATTTCGATGAATGGTGTTGCCGTGGTTACTAAAAATAGAAATTTCTGTGAAATTCTTTCAAAATGCTACTCCTCCTACAGTTTCAGTCTGATTTCAATATAACTTGGCACACAAGTAGACTACACTAAGATACACAATTCTGTATATCGGTTTTTGATTTCGATGAACAGTGTTGCCGTGGTTACTAAAAATAGAAATTTCTGTGAAATTCTTTCAAAATGCTACTTTCTACAGTTTTAGTCTGATTTCAGTATAACTTGGCACACAAGTAATCTACAATAAGATACATAATTCTGTATATCGGTTTTTGATTTCGATGAACGGTGTTGCCGTGGTTACTAAAAATAGAAATTTCTGTGAAATTCTTTCAAAATGCTACTCCAAATACAATTTTAGTCTGATTATAATATAGATGTGGCATGCAAGTAGACTGCACTAAGAACATATAGAGACTTAATCAAGGATCATTATTCTATTTATTGCTTTTCAAAAGTTTCAATTTCCAACTGCTTAAGTACTTTTCTCTTCCTTTGCTATAAGTACAAACCAGTAGAGCTTCAGTCTCGACAGAGACTTCTGGTTGCATTCAAGTAATGGATTTTAGATCTCGATTTATACATCCCTAGTAATTTCTTCTGCTTCAGTGGTTACCATTATATATCTAATTTTTCATAAAATCATTTAGATTACTTTGGGATAAAATTATATATTAATTTTTGGGATAAATTATTAAATTTGCATCTTGCTAGAATTTTAATTTTATGGAATTGTAAATCAAAAAAAAATTATTTCTTGGAATTTGTTTAAAAAAAAAGCCTGATTCTATTGTAGTGGATTAATCTGGTTACAGTCCAAGAAATTGCAGGTAATTTTAATATCTTTAAAATGGAACATGATTACCTTATATTTGAATAATAGTCATTAATGTTCAGTGTGTAAGCTTTATTTTTTGTGTGACTCAAGACTTTCGAACAAATATTTCGTCTTGTGCATAAATATTATTTATTATTAAGCTATTCACAACTGTAGAATTTCATCAGAATAAGTATACATTTTGTTTTGTTAATGTGTAAAACATTGATATATTTCTATGTTATTTAATAATAAAAAACCTTTTTTCAGTACATTACTGAACATTTGATTGATTGTTTTCCTTTGCAGAAATATTGTTTGAAAATCAAGTGAAACAAGTATGAAACAATAGGAATAATACAAAATGCAGTTTTGCCTCCAGGCTATTATTACCACAACAAAAAAAATCCTGTAAGATAGCTAAGTGTTGTAGCAAAGAAAATGAATTCGTTGTCTTCAAACCAGATCTCATTGAATTAAGCTAGATTCCAGGCCCCTTGTCACGGCATGCGTTGGAATGATACAGGGATCCCTCACTGCTCCGTGGCCCCGAATGCGGAGTAAAGGGACATAAAACAACATGTAGTCAATCTCTAGATCATTGTATAGATAGAACTCTTCAAAAAATTGGTTTAACAACATTCAGGTCTTTTCTATATACATGTATACTTACAGATAAAGGACTTCGTAATGTTCGACTATACATGTGTTTATTAGTAGCTAAAACAACACCGATAAAGTTCTACTACATGTACAATGTAATCTAATATGTGTCCTATACTAATAAATTTTGTGAACTAAGTTAAAGACCAGAACTCCCTCCACCCACTCACCCACTAGGCCCCAGACAATGCTTCATCCAGAACCCACTGCCAATTAACTTTTTGAGCCCCCCCCCCCCCCCCCCCCCAAAAAAAAAAGTTAAATTCCTTGATCCTCTCCTGATAATTCTCGCTAACCAAGGGTTCCTGATTTGCTCCACTCCTCACAATGAAGAGGGAAAAACCGTATTCAAGTTTTAAAAATAAACTAAACAAAATAAGCCTGCAAGAGAAAAGGTGATTTTATTAATAAAAAAAATCATATACATGTGTAATCATGAGAACATTGCAATAAATAATAGGATTTGTATCTTAGTTTAGGAATTAACTGAATTGTTTTAAGTTAAAAATCCGATTAAATAGTCCTATATTGTAGAAAGAATCATTATTATACAATATTCATATACATAATCGTTTGAACGGTTGGTGCTTGGGCTTTTATATTCAACAAGTCCTTCTTTGAATAACAACATTTTTTTACCTATATATGAGTTTAACTTGCATTTGAGAAACTTGAAACTTCGCCATAAGCTGTCATATGCATGCCGGGAGGGGGAGGGGATAAGTGTTTCACAAACGTATAACGTATTTTCATCAATGCTTTACATGGTTCGAAATTAAATTAATGGTTTATTTTTAATCGGATTTATCCCTCATTTCCCTTGCAGCATAAAATACACTTGATATTTTTTTCCCATTCTGCTTGAGAACTAATAGCCATTAATAAAAATACTTTATTGGAAAAAATTTTGAATAGAGGAAGATTTATGTTTAAAAGACCAGGAAGGAAACGGATGAAGAATGTGAAGTTAAATCTCTCGTGCTCGCTCTTAAATATAAAAATAGAACACTCGCACTTGTCTCGATATACATGTAAATGACTTCCAAATATAAATGACACGTTTTAGAAAGTTTGTTTCACTCAATGCGTAAAAATTCTGGAACATTTTTTTTCGTCACGACGGAAAAAATGAATCTCTATTTATATTTGTATTTGCATGCGGAAGAATACATTAATGTACAGAGCAAACATTCGTACATTTCATTTTTTGTAAAAATATCTCTGAAAGAATGTCAAACAAATTTAATTCTCTTCCAGTCCCAATTTTTGCTCCACACAAAAATATCAACTGCTGTAAAATAAACGCATGACGTGTGTGTCAACCACACAGTGCATGTACGTAGCTTCTCAAAACTTTAAAGAACTTTCTTTAAAACAACAGTCTGTATATCACAACATTTTCAAAGTCAATAACATAAAGTCATTAAACGCATGACTTATCTGTGCACTTTATTCAACTATTCCTCATGAAAAACTAAATATTTGGTATTTGATATGAAAGAAAACAGTTACTGCTTCTTCAGTAAAAATGCAATTTTTCAGATCTTGTGACTGGTCATTACTTTGTTAAATCCTCATAGTTGAACACACAACTACTCTGACATTGTTCAAAATTGAAGAGATATACTGGACTTTTTTCAGAGACAGCATATCTGTAGTCTTATAGATCTATATCGTCTGATTGGACATCAACCAAATACTTTGTTAAAAATCTCTCTGATTCATAAAAGAACTTTAAAGTTTATATTTTTTAAAAAGTCTAACTGACAACAATCTGTTGGAATTTCAATGAGTAAATTATGCTCCTTTATTAGTCGATCTGTTTTGACTGGGTATATATTCACAGGGATTAGTAACATATCTTACATGTACTTGATTTTACGTGATCTTATATACAAAATGCATATCATATATAGTGATAACGTAACTTAATCAAACACTTGTTTTACCGACCGCTGTGGGTATATTCCAGTGAAACAAAATCTATTCAAAAACTTCCTCATGAAAAAAGAAAAAAAAACACATCTTGCTGTGGAATTTAACTCGAAACTTCTATAAAAATATCATTTATTAATAAGAGATACTCGCGATCTTAATATGTATAATAATTCGATATTTCCAAATACACTCGAAATAAATGACATATTTGGACAATTACACCGTAAAATGACAGACAAGATGACTTTAGGTTTTCCATCGGCAACGTTCCATATTTATGTACTTTAGTAAAATTCCACTATCCTTTACTCATTGTGTTTACATGTCTTTTTATCAACTTATTAGACACACAAATGCATTTTCTGAATACGATCAGTTTTCAAATCAAAAAAAATAGTATTCTACTGACAAATAACTTGACTATACCCGGGGATTTCTAAATCAGCACATCATACATTTTATTTTTTTTAATAAAGACTTTGTTTGCAAATACAGCAAATATCTAGTCACATTTTGACTACCATGTATCAAACCAATTGCCAGGCTTTATTTGTAAATTGAATTTGTCTAACTGATCAATGCATGCATTGGGCGGGTGTGATCAGTAAGAAGAAAGCTTACTCCTCCTAGGTACTTGATCCCAATCTGGAGATTTCCCGGGATCCGTGTTTTATGGTTTGTTTACAAATTTGTATCGTTTAAAATATTTTTGAGATGGATCACTGTTCGCTAGCTTTTTCTTTTTCATTACCTCAACTGAGCTTTTAATCTTCGTTTACGCGTGTACTTTTAAAGCAATACTAACACGAATTTTGATATTGATGATATTCATCAAATTAACACTAATAATTATCATACAGAGATATTTATTTCTGGGACATTTAGATATTGAGCATATAAACAACATCATAAAACATTTCAATTGATAAATATTCTCACGAAGAGGAAGAAATGCCAGCTCTTTGTTTAAGAATTTCAAACATATCTTTAAAGTTTTGAAGTAAACCAAGGCCAGCATTTTTTATATTCGACCAAAATCTTTTTAAAATATTCTTGTCTCCTCTCTCGATTTCATCTCGAACACTCTCACGCACCACTTCCCACCCGCCATTTTCAACATATCCAGGAGTGGAATCAATATCAGGAATAGCAGAGACAGTTCTAGAATAAAGTTCATCTTGTTCTCTGCGGACTTCCGCTAGTTTCTGTTTGACTTCCGAAATTTTTTGATGAATTCCTGATACGTGTCCCCCTTCTTCCATTTCAAACGTCTCAGGGATGGCTTCTATCTGAAGATTATCCATTTCTGTTTGTAACTGGGTGAGTCTCTTGCACATAGCATCATTTTCACTGAATCGTTGTTGTTCCAACGTTTCTAACTTTTCCAACAAATATTGTTCGTGCTGTTTATATATATTGTTCTTTTCCTGGTATTCTTCAGAGAGTCGTTTTCGAAGTTTAGTGAATCGCTTTTTGCTTTCAGTCTCTAACTGCTTCTTTAACTCTTGCTCTCTTTGCCGGATTGCGAGTTCTGTTTCATCAAAAATAGGGCTTGTATAATAGTCCCCGCCATTTCTCCTGGTCATGCACTGTATCATGTCCAATAACTCTTGGACCTGTTGTTCAGAATTTTTCGGATCATCCCCGGTATTATCCAAAGCAAAGTAACGGTCGTCACACTCATTTATAATATCTTGGAGACACTTCGGAGCATCTCTGACAATTTGATGGATTGTCTTTTTACCTCGGTCTAAATCATCTTTCCGAGTGAACACAACAATGAGATATTTCATCATATCTGCGCCGAACATTTTACGGAGAAGGACCACGGTTTCATTTTCTTCTTGAGTAAAACGTCCGATCCCCACTATCAACAAAATGGCGTGAGGACCAGGGGCCGTCAGGCCCACACACTTCAGGATTTCTGTTGTGATGTCCTCATTGGATAGCCCTACAATGAAATAAAACATGAACAACAGAATGATTGATTGTTTGTTTGTTGTTTTATGTCCCTCTCGAGAATATTTCACTCATATGGAGACACCACCACTTGCCGATGGAGAGGTACAAATTTTGTCGTATGCTCGGCATTCAGGGCCATAGAGCAATGAGGGATTTCGTGCCATCACCTACAAATGTGCCGCGACACGGGACCTTTTTACGATCTCATCCGAAGTCTCCATGTCCCTCAGTGGGATTCGAACCCGCGACGTTAAACAACAAACAAATTTCCAATCTGATTCGGTCGCAAATCAATATCTTAGAACGATCTATATTTAAATCAGGCTGCTGAAAAATGTTGATGTTGCAGGGCTTTCAACAATCTCAATAAAATACTTGTACATGTAATAGTTTACAAGGTTTACACGTATATACTGTCTTTTTGCAAATGCAAATGTGTCTGGTTTATATATTTTTTTCTGACTTATTTCACAGCAATCGATAACTACATGACTGTGTAGAACGTTTTTTTTAAGTTGTCCTTATAAATACAGCGTACATTTGTGACCGGACAGAATTTTTATATTTTTAGGCACTTGTAGTCATATCAGCGTGTTGTCAGACGTCTGTGGTTTCTCTCTTCACGATATGTATTGTTTAAAAGAACGATCCCAGTGAACGTTACGTATCTTCATCTTTTTCTGTATTTAGGGAGGTAGCATATTGATTTCTGGAATTAGCAACACGATACTTATAGCTATAACCTCCTGAATTTGCAACATGATAGCAATTTAAAGACTATACATGTTTTTATGAGTAACTGGATAACAACTACAACACCCCCCCCTCCTTCAGACTTAAAACAAGCTTACTACCTCCATGAACAGTAGTAATGACGCCTGAAAAAGTTTGAAAATTAGGCCCACAAAGGACCATAACGCCTATGAAAAAGCTGCAGTTCTATGAACCGTGAACTGTATCATGTACCATCAATATCCAATATAGCAAAGTTCATCCCAGAAACAGAGTGCCCTAAAAAGTGGAAGTGATCTCCTAATTAATACAGGTGGGTTCAATCAACTTCCTTTTAAATGCAAATCCACCCATTTTAGTGCAAGTACTAGTATTTATAACCTAAGGTTCTGTTTCCATTTAGAGAAAAAAATACTAGTTTTTCATGTAACATTACAGAAATAGGAAAGACTTCCTGGTAGTGTAAAGTCGAGGTGTATTATAATGGTGTTTGAAGGAAGGGAGAAGTTGGCAGTGTTAACGGTGAATGTCCATGTCCATAATCAACAATATATATAAATACAAATATAAATACAATTTATATGCCAAAAATTATGTAATTTATATGCCGTATCATATTATCATAGCTTTTTAGCTTTTAGTATTGATTTCAAGAAACAGTTGTCATACGCAGATGTTTCATTCAACATGGGAAAATATACCACATTTAAAACTGACCCTTTTACAATTTACAATTATTTCAATATCTATGCAATCTCCGCCTGTATTCAAAAATTCTAACATAAAACTGTTCATTTTAAGTTACAGAAGTAATGCTGGCTAAGAATGAACCAAGGGATAACCAAAAAAGACATTCATTCCTCCTATGACATTTTGACATACTTAACATACATTTTGACATACTTGTCTCCAGAGGAAACCACCCGAGGAACACAATAACTTCGTGACGATGTATTTGTATTGATTCATTCACTCCCTTCAATTGCTGATATAAAACCTTCCTTTACTGTGTTGCCCGATTACTTCAACCATCGGCTTAAGGTCCTTTCTTAAAAACTCTAGAGGAATAGGAGGAATGATTGATTTATTGTATGTTGTTTGACGTCCCTCTCGAGAATTTGATGTGAGATCGTGGAAGAAACTTTAAACACCATGTCCCAATCCACCAATGCCATGATATGAGTTAGATATCTGAGATCACACAGTATCAAGCATCACTTTGCAAATCCGAACACAGATAGACTGATACAAGGAAAGAACAACTCCAATGCCAAATTACTAAATGCTTAAGATGGCAGTCAACAATGGCTTACAACTAAAATCTTATCCAGATTCTCCACCAATTTTCAAACACTTTTGACACATGTCCTTGTTTGAAAGACATTGACTTGACGATATGAAATAAGATTATTCAAAACTATGGTAAGAATGCAGTCGTTAATTTTTTTTTACTGATTCGGGCAGGCAAGACTCTCTAATCCAAATCCCAAATGTTAACAACTGATGTAAAATAACTGAAAATTGAAAAACTGTTGCTATTTCTGGGTGACTTCACACTTCATGGGATTAGAAAGGTAAAAAAAGTAAAATTGTTCAAATGCTGAAAGATATAGAGATACCACCACTTATTACTGAACTTTGACCTACTCATTTCACTACATCAATCACGCGGACATTAATGGGAAGTTACTTTCTTCTCAACAAAACTTAAATTATGTGATAATTACTTCCCAGATACATGTAGTTAATTAATGAATTTCCTGGTTTTCCTTATCAAAACTTATTGCATATTATTGATAATAAATTGCTCTTCAAACTAAAAAAATGTAATGATGAATGTTTCTCTTGTGAGCTTGGGATTTCAAAATATAGAAAAGGGAATCGATGAAGATTACTTTTCCCACCAAATCACATACATGTACCACCACTACAAAGTGCAAAGTATAAAAAAATTGTTCCAACATTCTTTACATGAAGTAACATACAATGTAGGTACATATTTTCAGTGTTGAAAATGAATCAGCAGCCTTGTTTTGTATAAGACATATGTCCACTAGCAGTATCTTGAAGTGAATGAGGCTTTCATAATGTAAGTGCCCCCATGCGCTGGCATAAAACTTAAAGGGTATCAATCTATATTCTAGAGCGAGAAAAGAAGCAAAAATTAGATTCAACCCTTCGGCATTCTGACCTCAAGACCTAGCCTGGGGGCCATAAAACTTAGTATAGATGAGCTCACTTTTGATCTAAGTCTCACTTTTCCACTATTAATTCCTTTGGAAAAAGTGCGACTGAGACCAAAAGTGAGCTCTTCTTAGTTTTATGGTCCCCAGGCCAGGAGACAAGAGAAATCGCTTCCATCTTAAATAATTTATAAAAAAAATTATTTGTTAGTTTTTATACATGTATATCATTTAAACATTATCATAATTATTCATTCACATTGATGATACAATTGATATTTCCAATATACATGTACCTGTGTCAAAAAGCCCTGGTGTGTCTACAACCAGCAGACGATGGCCAAAACGGTCGACTGAGCCTCGTTTGCATTTCTTGGTGATGGAGGAATTTGAAATATCCGAGTGGAAAATAGTTTTGCCGAGTAAGGTGTTCCCAGTAGCACTCTTCCCGGCCCCCGTCCTGCCGACCAGAATGATTCGAACTTCGTCTGTAAGAGTTTTTGAATATTGTGCATTTGAGTTGACAAGTCAAACAAATAAAGGCGTTATCGTCATTGTAATATTCAATGTTGATCAGCTGAGCAAAAGACCCTCTGAAATCTTTTTTAATGTTTTTCATCTAACTTTCTTTTTTTTTTGTACCTCCTCTCTTAAGCAAGCATGAGAGAGAGAGAGAGAGAGAGAGAGAGAGAGAGAGAGAGAGAGAGAGAGAGAGAGTACCAGGCAAAGCAAGTTAGGAAAAATAAAATATTTTAGCATAAAGGCCTCTTGTTTGCTGATCTGTTAATATAATTAATAAAATGTGTTTCCACATATGCAAATTGATTCCTGCTTCCTATTGCTAACATAGATATCAAATAAATGAGTTAAGTTATTCATAGATGCAATCACTTTATCTCAATATTAAACTATTTTCCTTTAAATTAAGGTTTCACTCACCATTGTCCTGTGCAGAAGATGTATTATTAGAATCCATTCCCTCTGGTCTTACTGCTTCAACTTCAACAGGTTTGCTGTATCCGCACAACTCACAGGATGTCTCCACGGGGTTATTTTGGTATGTACACCGAGAGCACTGCCAATCACTGTCTGTATAAGAAAAAACCCAGACAGAATTACCAATCAAATTCAGGTTTAGATTGTACATATTAAGTGTGAGTGAGTTCATGTATGGTTAAAAATTCAGATCTAAAATCAGGAAATGTTATGTAAGAATGTTATCCAAGTTGTGTCCTGTTCTTAGAATAAAGCCAGTATATTCACCATAGCTGATCATGAATATACCTAAGAATATTTGTCTACATCTACTAGTATATAAAAGATTAAACTGTTCAAACCAGAAAACCTTCGAGCGATAAAAGGAGAGCATGCAAATGGTCAAATAATGAACAAACCTGTTATTGATGTTGACAGACATGATATAAAGACTTACATCAGAGGGAAGAGCAGAAAGAAACACAGAACAAACCTGTTGTTGAGATCTGAAAAGATGGCTGATAATTGCTATGGATAGACATTGGATTAAGACTGAGGGCACAACTCATCCGTTCCTTGTGGGAACCACAGGACTGACAACATCTGTTGTTCTGATTCCGGTGTCCACACGCGCAGGTCCAGTTACTAAGGAGGTCCATGATTTCTCTCTTGTCCAAAAAAGCATATTATCAGCTTACAAAATGAGAAGTTGATCAATCGTGGTGTTGTTTCACGGAAGGATAATTCAAAATTTCGAAAATTTCCGTGTTGTGGTTATGATCATTACCTGTGGCTATGTTATATAAAGTAACTAAAGATGTTTTGAATTTTTTTTTAATTTTCAGACAGGAAAACTTTGAAAATTTTCAATACGTACAAAATAAGGTTTCAACGGAATTCCACTACAAATCGTACTTTCCTGATTTAAATTTGTGTTCTTAATCATATCAACATGTGTTGAAATTACACATTTCTCTTTTACAGCCCACCAATATAATCCTAATGTCATGGAAATTTATGAACAATTGCATTTAAATTTTATGTAATTTATGATTTTAAAAAGCACTGTTTTTACTAAATTCTACCTTGGTCTATGTAATTCTAAATTAATAGTAATATTTTAATGAAACTTCATAAAATATCTGTAAACAACTCTTTAACAAAACTGAAAACAACATTTTTGTTCAAAAAATAAAATAGCAGTATACTATTAACTTTTAGGATTATATTTTATGAAACTCGACTCAAGTTATTTCACATAAACAGATAAATGAAAGATTATGGACTTTGGAATCTCCAACACATTTTGAGATTCTTGTATGTATAGACATTAATGACCAACTAAAATTAAACTATTCGAAAAAGTGACCTCTTATTGTCAATTAACAGTACGACATTTAACTCTGGACACGACATAGTCCAGACTTTTTACTACCATTTCTAATTATTATAACCAAAATATTTTTATATCACTTGGTGGGATTTCTTAGCAGTATTCCAGGGTCTTAAGTTGGACTCAAGAACATCTCCACTATTAAAGATATGAAGTCCTAAAACTCAGAATCATATGGGAGAATGGTGGGATTTTCAGTCCCACCAACTATCCCACCATTCTCCCATGGGAGAAAAAATGTCAGATGGGATATTTTCTCCTAGGGGATTTTTTCTCCCATGAATTTGTTCAAATGGGATAAATCCCACGGATATTGACAATGAATTATTTTCTCCAATACATTGTGAAACATGGAACTGTTCTTGAGTCCAACTTAAGACCCTGGAATACTGCTAAGAAATCCCACCAAGTGATATAAAAATATTTTGGTTATCATAATTAGAAATGGTAGTAAAAAGTCTGGACTATGTCGTGTCCAGAGTTAAATGTCATACTGTTAATTTCTTTTCCTATTAAGTATTACATGTATTCCTATATCATTGAATATTGTATTAATGGTATTAATCTCTTTCAAATAATTCTGTACGCAAGAGTATTTTTCTGATTTTTCAAATTTCAATCAATACAATTTGACTACAGATTACTTCGTATACCTGATTAGAGGCTTAAAACCCTGGTTTATTGGTCAATAGCTGATGTTTATACTCCTCTTTGACGCCTGAGTTTCCAGGGTCTATGTTATTGCCCTGATCGTGGTACACGTTCATATCTGGATTTATAAGATTGATTTATTTTAGACCACCTCCAGAATACTGTTTATTTTTCCTCCCTCGAGATAAAAAGGTCGGTAGGTTGGGAGGGTTCCCTCAAAAATTTAATATCCAAAATATGTTAAAATTGGAAATTTAATACAATTAAAATATATGTAGTAAATTATGAGCTAGATGCAAACTTTCGGAATGCTTAAAAATTTTCCTGGAGGTTTAAAAGGTTTAAACTGTTTTAAGAGTTTTTTTTTGTCCAATCAGTCGGGAGTAGACAAGCAAACAATTTTTCAAAGATGGCCTAATACATGTATCATCATCAATTGATACATACATGTAACAGAAATTGTGATGCACCATAGATTTTGGTTCATGTTTTCTTTCTAAACACAAGCGATATTTTATTCTTTTTATCTTTCTCAAATCACAAAATTCCACAGAAATTAAAGATAAAAATACTTTTAAAGTCGTTTACAGAAATATTCAAGACAGATACATGTACATGTATATTCTTTCATTAATATTAAAAACACATTAAAATATAGCAAGTTGCTTAAGAAATCATTGTTTAGTTTAATGGTAATGCCAGGGCATCAACGATAGTTGGAAACTTGAGATAGTTTGCATAATGGACTATCGAAGTTCCATTTGCATAAATTATCCCTTGTTCCAAGCGTAACCAACAAACAGCGAGTCCTTATTTTTACAGTTTGTGAAATTAAATTTAGATTTTGATAACAAGCAGCCTTCCATGTCAATTTCAATAGTTCCCACCCACTGACTTTAAACACAAAGACAGACGCAAGTGATTGACATGCACATTAGGTCTCCTTAGCTTGCTCATGACCTCTAGCTTGGCGAAAAGACAAGATAGGGTAAGACCCGTATTTGGCCCCTGATTTTGGGTGTCTTTCAGAATGATGCAACAGTTTATCTTTAGAAACATCTTGTCATCCCTGCCACAAAGTGAGTATTGGTTCCAAGTTTTAAAATACACAGAGGCCACAGAGAGGTGAGAAAATCTTCGAATATTTTTCATTTTTATGCAAATTTTCATTGATTTTACAGCACATTTTGTTTCGGAAAACACAGAGCACAAACTTGCCTATCTACCAAATTTACATATTTTATACACTAGTATCAGATGCAGTTTACATGTAAAAGTCTCACATAGGCAAGCTTGTACTCTATGGTTTCTGAAGAGAAAAGTATCTCAAATATGATGAAATTCTACCAGAATTGAGGAAAATGTCCTACTTCTGCACCCTCTAGTGGCTTCCATGTAACCTTTGAATCCGGATTAGTGTTGATTCAAAGCAAACATCATTTTAAGTTCTTACATGTTACTACAAACTATCAAAATTTTACCAGTGTTCTGATTTTTACATCATGTAATGGACCAGATATGACCGTTACATATACCCTACCTTGTTCTTTGCATTCCGATTGAATTATCAAGACATCAACTCACCTAACTTTCGAAAGTTTTCACAGAGAAAACAAATAGAAATGGAAATTCATAATTTTATACTCAACAAAACACACTTTAATATATATACATCTATAATAATAATAATAATAAAACATATTCAATGTTATTTGCATTATCTATGGCAAACATCATAAAATTTACAATTTACAAATCACCCTGCTCTTCTGTAACTATCTTGCATAAAAATAAAGTTTTGTGTGAAGTTCCTGCTCACCTTCGCATTTAAGATTGACGATACCATTGATATATACAGATTTTTTGTCTTCGCAATTGATCAAGAAAAGATGAATATTGAGAGCGGCTCAGTAGAAGCCTGCCCTCCCTTTAATTACCTCAAATATTTCTTTGAATTTAGTCACTAAACCCTTTCCCGCGTCCTTGATATTTTTCCAGAATTTCTTCAGAATGTTCTTGTCACCACGTTCAATTTCGTCTCGGACGTTTTCTCTTAGAGCTCTTTTAAGTCCCGCTTCATCTCTGTATCCCAAACCCGGAACCTCTTCTATATCTTCGTAGAGCATCATGTCCTCTTGTTTATGTCTGACATCCTCCAGACGACTTTTGACCTCAAGGATCTTTCGCTGTAAGTTGAAAAGCTTGCAGTTTTCTTCCTCATCAAAACTTTCTGGATTGGCTTCCATGGTTAAATTGTCCATTTCTGTTTGAAGAGCTCTCAGATTCTCACGCATTGTTTGTCTCTCAATCGATTGCTGACTCTCCAATCTTTCAAGCTTCTCAAGCAGCGCGCTTTCTCTTTCTCTAAAATGTGAATTCTTGTGATCGAACTCCATGGAGATCATTCGTTTCATCCTGCTAAGTTCTTGTCTATTCTGTTCTTCATACTTCTGCCTAATTTCTCGTTCGCGTTCCTGGATTACTAATTCAGTCTGATCAAAGATAGTACTGCTGTAATATTTATTTCCATTTTTCTTCACCATGGTTTCAATCATCTGCAAAAGATCTTTTACTTGTTGGTCCATATTATGGATATTTTCTTCTGTATTATCGATGGCAAAGAATCTGTCTTCACAATTTCTTATTATATCTTGTAAAGAAGGCGGAGCATCCCTAAGTATCTGTTGTATAGATTTTCGACCACGATCAAGATCATCTTTCCTCGTGAAAACGAGAATAAGATATTTTAGCATGCTTGGACCGAATGACCTTTGTAGCAATTCGACAGTTTCCCTTTCCTCCTGCGTAAACCTACCAATACCTATCACTAACAAAATGGCATGTGGTCCAGGTGAACTTATTCCCACACATTTCAAGATCTCCTTCGTGATAGCATCATTTGTCATACCTTGAAATAAAGAGAATAATCTGATTTCGAGTAAATTTGTTAATTTGGAGTTTCTGATTGGAAGTGTGTCACATATATTCTGTTCTCGATGAATGTTGTACTTACCGGTATCAAATAGACCTGGGGTGTCAACCACTAAAATTTCCCGACCAAACCGTGCTGCTGTTCCTCGTTTGCAGATTTTAGTTATGCTTGAATTCGAAACATCAGATTCAAACTCTCTCTTGCCAAGAATGGAATTTCCTGTTGCACTTTTCCCTGAGCCCGTCTTTCCAACGAGTATAATACGAATTTCATCATTTAAGTATTCGCATTCTGTCATAAAATTAAGCAAAAGTAGAGGTATCTATGGTTTTTATGAAAACCACCGGAAAATTTTGATTTTTTACCTACTGTGACACTGATAAATTTGTATTTTCTTTCAGTAGTACTCAAGATGTTTTATTGAAAAATATTTGAATTTATATTTTTTTATTTTCTTTGATGAAAACATTGTTTACCACTCTATAATGGAATGGATAATAAAAATTTTAAAATTGGATCACACTTACCAAGCCACTTATGTGCTCTTATTTGTTAAAATTGTTTTACATTACATACGACTATTTCTCTAAATGTATTTTTGTCTCTTTCAATAATTTAACCCAAGCGTATGGATTTTTTTTAAAAACTTATCTCATTTATTTTAATTCATTTTTTTAAAAAAAAAAGTTCCAAATCCTGTGACCGGGATGAAATAATAAAAACTTTGGTATCTGTAACAAAAGTATCCAGCATACCAAATTATTCAGAAAAATTTGCATTTATTTTTTTAGGAAAAATACTTTGTGTATTTAAAAAAAGAAAGAAACAACGAATTTTTAAAAAAAAATATAACTTTTCGTTATGAAATAGTAAGAAACTTTCTCTGACAAAAAAATAATAAAAAACTTTCGTGTAAAATTGTGTAATACATATTGTTGTGAGTTACCAGAAGCTCCTGACGGGGGAAGGTCTGGAAGTGGTGGTAAATCTCTCCGAACAGAATCTTCCTCCAAATCCTCGACTGGAAGCGAACCTGGATAGGAGAGACAAGTAAAGGAACTCTCCATCTGTGTTTGTTCAAAGCCACAAACAGAACACACGGACTCAAGTGGATTATTTAGGAAGGTGCATTTTTCACATTGCCATTCCCCTAATGAAAATAATTCACCACAATATTAAGAATATAGTTTTATCAACGTGACAAAACACCTTGCTTTAACACTGAATTGAGTGATGGTTAATGTAAGAAAATGCAAACATCTTACCTGTTGATGAAGGGTACGTTAAGATGTTTGACTCGGCACCTTCTTCCATCTGAGTCTCCCAAAAAGTTCTAGAGTCTGATTCCGAAGGAAGCCGGTTTTTGTTTGAAATCCTAGAATCATGTGTTTTCAAAGCAGAATTCCACAAGGAAATATACTATTTTTGTTTGGGAAATAGTTCCTGTTTATGATAATGACTAAATTAGCCAATATCTTTAGGCAGGAAGTACTTGTTCCTGTCTTGGATACTCCTCTGTAAGAAAGATAAGATAGGAAAGAAAACTCGGAAAAAAATGTTGATATCATCCAACTCCATCTCTTAAAATTTTATTTTGGTTGTTGCCATTTTGATCGATTTTAAAACCCAAAATAGTTTATCATCTATCTAAACCTTTGAAACAGATAAAGTTTATCTTTGTTCTTTCCTTAAAAGTAAAACGTGGGTGGTAAAGTGAGTAAACACTAAAACTGAGAATAACTTTGTAACTATGCGCATCACCGCCCCAGTTGTTTTCTGGTTGTTAGTGTTATATACACATCGTACCAAAACATACAATTATGTTCTTCCTAGATATAATAGATCTGTTTCAATAAAGTCCCCAGAGTTATCTGTAACATATGAAAAAAATTGTATAATGTATTTTGTTGTAAATTTTCGACGATTTTGTGAATTCATCATTTTTACTGAAAGAATTGTTTGATCATTTTGACACACTATCTATGTGTGAAGAGTGAATGATTTTGATAAACTTTGTTAAAAAAATTTTCTCTCTTTGAATTAAGTTTTTTCCCTCGATCATTTTCAAGGCTTATTTATGTCATTTATTATCCTGTAAAGACATGGAATCAATCTATGATATCTACACATATCGTTATTTGTATCAGCGTTTCTATTGTTTTTATTTCTATCTTTAACTTAATTTTGAAAATTACTGGTCCAACAATTATCATTTCGTTTGCTCAGTCGACCAGAGACATATCCTTCAGCGTGCTTGTGAGAGGGTGAGGGTGTGTGTGTGTTGGGGGGAGGGTGAGGGAGGGTGAGAGTGTGTGTGTTTGTGGGGGGGGATTGAGGGAGGGTGAGGGTGTGTGGGGGGGGGAGAGGGAGAGGGTGTGTATTGGGGAAGATTGAGGGAGGGTGAGGGTGTGTGTGGGGGGAGAAAGGGTGAGTGAGGGTGTGTGTGCGTTTTTAATACCAACTACACTGGCCGGTTATGATTTGAAATCAATTATAATTCTTACAAAGAGTTTATGTTTTTGTTGGAATTATAAATTCAAAAAGAGAAGAGAAGTAAGTTAAAACTTGCATTATATGGAATCATGTCTCTTATAATGAATACATGTACTTGTAATTTGTATGTTATGAGGGGATCATCAATACTGATGAAATAAACTTGATCGTGAATCTTATAATTTTTTTATATTAATCATAATGTTCAATATTGTAATTGTCTTGACCTATTATACAAGGAGAGGGTGCGAATAGGCTTTGTCTGTTTTCTAATTTTAATCAACTATTTAATGTGTTTTAATCAATTAATACTTACTTCCAAATAGCATCTATTAAACATGTTTGCCTGACGAAATCAATGATAATGTGTTGCACCAAACTGGTATTCTAGTTTGCATCTGAAGTAAAAAAAAATTGGACGAAGCTTTCCACTATATACTTAGCATTTTTAGCTGACCTGAGCTGAAGGTTCCAATGAGCTTTTCCGATCATCAATGTCCGTCCATCCGTCTGAAAACTTTTCAGATTTTCATCTTCTACTCAAGAACCACTTGTCAAATTTTAACCAAACTTGATACCAAAGTCATACTTGGATGAGGGGGTGTTTAAATTGTTAAAATTAAAAGTCAAGTACATTTCAAGGGAAGATAAGTAAGAAAAGACAAAAATAGACTGATGTCATTAAAAATATTCTTCTGTAGAATCAACGTGCCGGAAAAGCTGAATTTTATGCGGAAGCATCTTGGGGTAGTGTAGATTCTTAATTGTTCAAATCATGACCCCTACGGGTAGGTCGTTGCAAAAATATTCAGTTACTGATGTACAAACAATATACATGTAAAGCTAAGTTTTATCAACAATAAAACCTTTTGTTACGGAATGGAAAGTATTGTTGCAATTGTCAAGATACGTGGTGTATGCCTTGTATTCCACAGGGCATTGAGATGCACTGTAGTTTTATCCTCTGTTTAAAATACAATTATGCTCATTCAGTTGACACATTACATGTAGTGGTTGAATAGAATTTTGTTTTCTTTATAATGGACAGAGAGATCATTCTCTATGGAGTATGTGGAGATAACGAACAGTATTCGAGCTGAAAAGTCCATCAAACATTACAAAATAGGAGCGGAGCAAAAACGAACATGATATGTTCTTTGCATTTAGAAGAACCATTCGTTTACTTCTAAGGTTATCATTTCTACATTGAACTATTCTACGGATTTTTCCTCCGTTGCATTTGATCCCTGCTCTGCTTCAGCTATTGATTGTTTATATAGACTTTGAGCTTAGATACTGTTTGTGATCTCCATATTTCATTCTTATATCTCCCTTGCCCAACCCACTGTTTTAACTGGGTCAGAGAACAAATCCTGTTATCCCTAAATAGTCTTCTGCCTTTTCCTGCCTTCCTTCCGCTACAGAGCAGAAAAACACACTGTCTTCCTCTTTATAATTTCAGGCGTGGTGTTAATTATTAATTGTTAATTTCCTATTATTCGAACATTTCGAACAATTTATCATTTTAAAGATAGGGGGTATTTTGGGTTTCCCACAAGAATTCGAAGCTAGTAGCCATATTCTTTAAAAACAGAGACATATTCAGGGCTTATATTATTTTCCAAAAAATCTAATAAATTAGTTTCTCTATAAGCAACTTTGATTGATGAGAAATATAAGGTTTCTTTATAAATCTAATTTCTCTCACAACGACCTTTTCAATCTACAGATCTCTAGAGGTTTCTTCCACCTAATTTATTAACAATGATATCAACGTCAGATAACAACGTTAACTAAAAGTTTGAGGTAATACAAATGGTAATTATTTATATACGACTATATACATTATTTGAGTTCAAGGGCATCATGCGTTTTGTCTGTTCCAAGAACCAAATTGGTTCGAAGGTCGACAAAACGCATTTTCATGAGAACATAGTCTATATTAATGATTGTTATACCTTTCATTTTAATTTTTTAAACACATGTATTTTGTAATGTATTCCATGATGTAACCTCAGGTCCGTCACTGTTGAACACCAACGAATGAAAACGAGATTAAGCTCCGCCCATTCTGTGACGCAAGCGGTCCAATATCTCACTCAGCGGTCAAACATTGATTTTTTTAATGCCCGCTCAGCAAAATCTTGAAAAGAATTTGATTTCAAGTCTCATTTGAGACTTTTTGAATAAGTATTAAATTAAAGAGTTAATAAATATCCTTTCTGGCTGATTAATTTTAAGTTTAATTCTTCTATTTTTAAGGCATATTTTTTCCGACTTCTTCTTTATCATTATTTGGTCTTTGTTTTCAAATTAAGTTTAAGAAACGAATGTTCCGTCTTTCTTGATCAATGCAGAGAGCACAAGGCAAGTGTGACCAGTCGATGTGGGATGCTTTCTTTTCCAAGGCACATAATCCCACCCGTGGAATTTTCAGGGGTACACTTTTTTTTGTCTTGATCAAGATTTGTATTGTATTTAGTTGTTTTTTTTTTTAAAAGATAGTTTACTGTTTGTAATCATCACTTTTCATCATACACAATACATGATGATAAGCATCTACCCTTTTGCCTTCCAGATGACAAAATATGGTGTGTTTAAAAGATAGTCCAATGTAATATAATGTGAAACAAACACAACAAATCAGATACATAGTTTTATATATTGTTTATGTGCAAACCTTCATCTTAAAACTCTCTTTCCACTTAACATCTTGAATATCTTTGTTTGGCAGTACATCTTTTAAGGTTTTGTCAAAGGTCAACATGTCCAAAAATTTATTTTTACAATAGCCCCAAAACTATGTGAAGTATAAAGTTAAAAAACTTTTACAGTTTATAAATTTTTCATTGATTAACAGATAGAAAGTATCACTTGATAAAAAAAAATACTTGGAAAAAGTATTAATTGAGAAAAATTCTTCTTAAAAATGCTTATATTTTCAAAAAATACACCTAATTAATTCCACGCTCTTAGTGAAAACCATTATTGCAGAAACAAAATATGTTTATCAATGAAGGACAAGTTGGACTTGGATAGCCTCTGGAAAGTTGTTTCCCCTGTTTATTTTGTCCAAATGTTAAGACTTGAAAGTGAAAGTACCTTGCAAATGGCGGATTCTGTAGGGGTCTTGTCTTTATACATGTCATGCTTTCAATTACAGCCTTTCAGAGACTATTCACGTCCAACTTGCCCTTCAATGATAAACATATATTATTTCTGCAATGATGGTTTTCACAAAAAAGACAGAATTAAGCAGGTGCATTTTTCTTTAAATATGCACATTTTCTGATACAATTTTCTCAAAAAATATCTTTTTGAAAATATTTGTTATCAAGTGATACTTTCTATCTATGAATCAATGATATATTTATAAACTGTAAAGGTTTTGACTTTATACCACACATAGTTTTGAGCTATTGTAAAAATAATTTTTTAGACATGTTGACCTTTGACGAAACCTTAATAAATTTTCCTCTTAAAAACCAGGAATGTATATGAAAATGAAATAACTTTGTATGTGTGTACTTTTAAACAATATGACTGTTTCTGTTTCGTATAAGGTAAAATTAGGACTGTATTTTGTTCGTTATTACAAAAAAGTAAAAGAAAAATCCCATTGATCATGCATAAATAACAAACAACAAAACTGACAGACAGCTGAAAGTTTGACGCTCATCTGATTCGTCTTTTTTTGACATAAGAAAAAAACCCGTAATACTTTTAGCATAGAAATTATTTGATTTTAATATATAACATAGCAACGTTTGTATGAGACTACTATATGATAATTTAGGTTGCTGATGCAAAGTGGATTTTTTTTACTGAAACATTAATCACAACAATTGGTGCATGATGATGTATTAACATGCAATCAAGAGTATGAAACTATAAAGTAACTGATGAAAAATTCATCAAACTCCCATCTTCTCCTTCACTGTGTCAAATATATCCTTAAACTTATTGACTAGCTCTGATCCCGCCTTTTTGATATTCTTCCACGCTTTTTTCAATATATTTGTATCTCCACTTTCAATCTCATTTCGAACATTGTCTCTGAAATATCGGTCAAGCCCATCGCTATATGGATGATGAAATGCAGAGCACTCATGGGGAAACATACACCTGAAATCTTCGTCCATCTTCTCTTCTTGTTCTTGCCTCACATCTTCCAGACGGCTCTTCACTCCTAAAATCATCTGTTGCAAACTGACCAATTTTGAGTTTTCATCCTCATCAAAACTATCAGGAATGGTTTCGATCATCAAATGGTCCATATCCGTCTGTAAAGAACTGAGTCGGCGAGTGAGACTTTGTTGGTCAATTTGAAGCTGATCCTCCATACATGCTAGTTTGTCAGCCAATGTCCTTTCTCTCTTTTTAAGATTTGAGATCTCCTCCATGCTTTTCTCATATTTAGCTCTCAGTTCTCTTTCGCGTTCTCTAATAGCCAACTCAGATTGGTCAAAGATAGTACTAGTGTAGAATTTGTTTCCATTCTCCTTCACCATTGCTTTTATCATTTCTATAAGGGCCATCACCTGCTTTTCAGACTTTTCAGTACCTTTTTCTGTATTATCTATGGCAAAGAATCGATCTTTACAACTGCTGATTATTTCTTTTAAAGACGAAGGGGCATCATTTATAATCTGCTCTATAGATTTTCCCCCACGGTCTAAATCATCTTTTCGTGTGAAAACAATTATCAAATATTTCAGCATGTTTGGACCAAAGGCTTTCCGTAGTAATTCAACTGTGTCTCTTTCCTCTTTGGTAAACCGACCGATTCCGATGATGAGCAAAATGGCATGAGGCCCTGGGGCGCTGATTCCCACGCATTTCAAAATCTCCTTAGTAATATCCTCATTTGTCATGCCTGGAAAAATCATAATACAACTGTTTCTTTATTTTGATAAATTATAGTGTATTTTTGATTATCTTGATAAGCCTATTAGTCTAAAATATAATCAAAAAATTAAATGGTGGTTTGCTCTGTAATTTTCTAGATGAAAAAACTGTTATAATTGCATGGTGGAAGAAATAGTTTTTCCGCAATACAACTCTCGAAAGATAGACAAGTTTATTAGGCATCGTTTCTTATTTACGGTTGTGACTTCATAATTATATTTCGTGCATGAATTTTTTGAACTCAGATAATTTGGATCTACATTTATAAATCAGCGTAAAAGATTAAATAGCTATGTGTAAAATATGTTAAAAAATATCTTTTTAAATCTTTTCCCCATCCTCTTGCCTCTGGATTTTAAAGAAATGTAGCATTCATTTAATAAGAGACCTGTGTCAAAAAGGCCTGGAGTATCTACGACTAGTAACTCCTCTTCGAATCTTCGGACTGATCCTTTTTTGCAACATTTGGTAATACTTGAATTAGATACATCCGATTCAAAAATCCTTTTGCCCAAAATGGTATTTCCTGTCGCACTTTTACCAGATCCGGTTTTTCCAACCAGTATGATCCTCAACTCATCTCTCAAAAAGCTTCCGTCTTTGAAAGGGAAAACAAATATAGGAATTTTTTTAGTGATTAAATAAGTGTGAGGATATTTTCAGTGATGAAAACATTCCAAAAATAGATTTCTGAAATTTTTGTTCGTTGATGTATTTGATAACTTTAAGAATCAGAAGAAAATATATCAGGTTGAAATTCCAGAAATGCGAAACATATATAATGTATATGAAATACATTTTTTGAGATATCAAAAATGACAAAATAACACTCAAATATTTCTGAAGTAGTTTATCTTTTAAAAATTACACAACATCCAAAATAAAATAATATAGATATTTGTTTTAATACTGATTGTGGATTTTTGACATCGTTAAGCACATGTATGTACCTTTTCGCCTGTCGTCGCCCATATGCTCAAACCAATATCCTGTGGACTGACTTGGTGGACATATTTGATGGGGTGGATTCCAGGAGTCTCGGTTAGAATCGGTTGTTACAGAATCTTCCTCTATGTCAAATGTGGAGAGAGGATGAACAATAGTAGAAGGGACTTCATCATCTTCAATAGACCTGAAGCCACAAATCTCGCAGCACATCCTCTCTGGTCTGTTAAGATACGTGCACTTTGTGCACGGCCATTCTTAAAATAATAAATTTAAAGTGAAGATTCGCTGTACTCATACTAAGCATATTCAATTTTCCAATTAAATAAGAAAACAATCGAATTTTCTAATGAAATTTCTGCCAAGAAGACGTTTTAAAAAGTATTTTTGCTATTGTCAGTAAGGAATAAGGAATATTTTATGCATAAGAAAGGGCAAGTCTCAATAAGGCTTATCTGTGGTCTCCGCTTCCTCGTCAAACTTCGAACATTTATCAAACGCCTTAAAAATTATATTCTATTATTAACTAATGTCTTTATTATTTGAGTCATCGTCTAAAAATGTCAAATAATAGATATACGCAGCATACGAAGCTGCGTGCTGAAGTTAGGGTCCTTTGATTTTCATGAATATGTAAGACATCAATGACAGGTACACACTTTATAGCTTTCGTAAACACCGAGCACAGGTTTGTTCAGAGTCAAATTTGATATACAATGTATAATGTGTTCATTATATGTGTAAAGGTTGAGTAAAAATATCTTTGTTGAACAACCTTGTGCTCTCTGTTTTCTCACTAAAGTATTGTGATTTTGAACCTCTTCGCTGTCTTCTTTTACACGCGATTAACCTCTTGTTATACAGAACAAGATTATTAGATTTACTCTTGATGTTTCACCTAGATCAAGAGTAAGTGTTACTGAATTTGAAAAATTAGTTTTTTTGAACATTAGAAGTAGAGTGTGTCAGTTACGCCTCAATCACGTCTACAATATTTTTCATAATAAAGGTCCAAATTATATGTATAGCAATTTTAAGCGAAATGTTTCTAAAAATTGTACAAGATCAAGTCAATTCAATTTTTTTGTGCCAAGGGTTCAAAAAATGGAGATTCAAACATTTTTTTATAATGGAATTAAAAATTGGAATGCTCTACCTGACCAGATTAAAACAATAACAAGTAAATCAAAATTCAAAAAAGAGGTCAAAAAACATTTTATGGAGAAACTCAAGAAAAATGTCAAAGAGGATTTTTTATACTATTAGATTTATAACTTAATTTTTCTTTCTACCTCTACAATTAAGAACTTATGTTTTAGATGCTTTTTCATAGTATGATTAAATTTTTAAGCCACCTCGATTATAGTTAGTATACTATTTATTGTTTATATTGTATATTATATATGTCATATGCCAGTAATTTTGTTACATATAAAAGGACCCCATTGGGAATAAGCCATACTGGCTTTCATGGGCTATCCTTGGGTTTAGGCATATTTAATATAATATATTTATTTGAATTATATAAAAATAAGATTTATAAGTCAATTAGTTTTATAACTGATCTCTTAAATTATGTATATTTATTTATTTATAAATTTTTATACTGAGTTCATACTCACACCTAAATGTTATTGTACATTGCTAAATGTCTTTACCTGAATAAAGATTATTATTATTGTAGGCCTTTCAACTGCCGCTGGGATTCGCTGTTATGAACGATAACTCGTTGCTGAAACTTGTTTAGAGCAGGTCCGAAGTATCTAACTGTTTATACGTAAGTCATTTTTTATCATTTCCCAAGTGTTTCTTTGCTGTCAATAGAATCCAGTGGTTTAAAATTTAGCACTAATGTTAATTTTATTTATTACATAGTTGCGGACACCGTTTAATTAGATATAAGTAAAATTTTTGATAAAAATAAAAAGTGAAATCTAGCCCCCTTCTTAGTTCTAACCTGATTAAATGTTTGTACTCGGTCGTTCTTCTTCGTGTTAGGTAACACAAATAAGATACTTAATTGTTGCATTTACTTGTAAAAATATATATAATTATATATATAGGAAGCGCAAAAGTGCGCACTAAAAAACATGCCAATATATTTTCTTCCTCATAACAATCGTCAAAGAGAGTTAAAAATATTAAATATAGTCTGTTCCCCATTCATTTGACACTGTTATTTCAGGTAGAGTGAAGACATTCTCCTTCTTTTGGTCAACACTTTTGTGTACAAAACAATGTAAGGAACCCTTTGGTGTACATAACAATACCAATGCTGAAGTAGCCTGTATGTCATTCCTATAAACGATAACTCATAAATTGGCATTTAGTTGGTCATTTTTCACACCTGAGTTACCTGTCCTTAAAACACAACATCGTGCAATTCAATTGTAGATAATTAAACTTTTTAATGGTTTAATTAAATGTATGCAAGAGTTATTATCTTTTTAAATAATTTCGTGTACCTATAAATCTATCAATGAAATGTTATTTACTACATGTGCAACTTGAAAAATTAGTTGAAAGACCTAGCCTATTTATGACCTGTTCAGAATCAAAACAAGCCACGTGGATTTGTGTCTTTACGGGTAAATGCCCGGGCAAACATGCTAGCAAGCTAGCGCTCAGTTGAAACGTCCAGTTTTATATCGGTCAGCATGGACTTGTTTGGTTAATCTTGTTATAGTGTTTAATTGCTCAAGTTTTGTAAATAGAAAATTGTATTTGTAGTTGATTGTGAATCTTGAACATATAATTCGTCTTTGAAAGGAAAATATCATATATCAAGAATATTCTTTTTATAATATCTAATCTAAATGTCTCCGCACATTTCCATGTAAAGGAGAAACCGTCGTCTGATGGGGGAAAATGTTCCGGCATTTTTTTTTTAGTGCGATGGGTGTTAAAAATTGGCTTGTATTTTTTGATATGTTTAGTTATTCATTATAAATACACAATGCTTTAATTAGAAATTATGGTGGCATATTTCTGCCCCCTACATGCAAGATAAAATATGTTAACATGCAAGAAAATTATGTCAGCATGCAAGAAAATTATGTATACATGCAAGATAATTATGTTGACATGCAAGTTAACCAATCTTATAAGAAAATATAATTTAAATATGGGTAAATTTACTTACTAACGCCTGTATCTGACATTTTAGATGCAATATGCAACATAATTATGTAGACATGCGACTTTTTTTATGTCAACATGCAAGATAATTATGTCAACATGCGACTTATTTATGTCAACATGCAAGATAATTATGTTAACATGCAAGATATGTAAGTTGATGTGCAATTTATTATCTTGCATGTTCACATAAATAAGTTGCATGTAAACATAAATATTCTGCATGTCTACGTAATGTCTCGCATGTTAATATAAGTATCTTGCATGTTGACATAAAGTAGTTGCATGTGTACATAATTAACTCGCATGTTGACATAGATATTTTGCATGTGTACATAATTAACTCGCATGTTGACATAAATATCTTGCATGTCAACATAATTTTCTCGCTTGTTAACATATGTAAATTGCATCTTCTCATAATTATGTTGCATCTTGCATCTACGATGTCAGATACGGGCGTCAGCACGGGATTTTACCCATATTTAAATCAGATTCCCTTAAAAGATTTGTGACTTGCATGTCAACATAATTATTTTGCATGTATACATAATTTTCTTGCATGCTGACATAATTTTCTTGCATGTTAACATAATTTATCTTGCATGTAGGGGGCAGAAATATGCCACCATAAGAAATACTTTGTTATACACAATGAAATCAAACAAAATACTCTTTCCTTATATCTAACCAGTAAACCAAGGGTGTAAAAAGGAACCACGTTACTATACTCAAGTGGAATACTTCTTTAGTATAATAATGTATCATCATAATAATGTTGATATCAGTTCCTTTATACGTTAAATGGTGAAGATAAAAAAGTGATCTAAAATGTAACACAAATGCGTGAAGATGGTTTGAAATATTTTAAACATTAAGTTTGTAAAAGACTCTGCAGACTGGCAGACTCAGTGGTGTCTCTTATTTCATGTTCACTGGGACACATGTATATCGGTTTGGCATCAATACACTTCAATTCTAAAACTAATTATTGTGTTTCCTCAAGTTTGATTCTTTCCTTCTTGAACTATAATTGTATGTTCAAACAGACACAACCATTTAGGCACAATATAATATGCAAAACACAACACTGTTGATAAATATAGCACCCAACACGGCTTAAGAAGACTGGTAAACGATGCTTTAAGCATATGTTGAATATTCAAATATTGTTTGAAGCATTGTTTATTTTCTATCTTACCTCTATCACTCATTGCCATACCCCTGTTTCTTCACTTCTATGTTTTCCTCAAAAGCCAACACATGGTTAATGAAATGATTGACATTCACCTACAGTTTTATTCTAAATTTGGCGGGAAATGAGTTGCACGAGCTGCACGCCTTGTAATACGGAAGCTAACTATTTTAGAAAATATGGCCTTCCTTGTCAAAATAGTATTATCTTGCATCACCAAACATGAAATCATCATTTAAGTCCAAAATATGAACACAGTACATTTACCAATAATAAAAACAAAAAAGCTCAATTAATTTCCAATCTGTATTTAGAAAGGCAATCCTTAAAAATAGACGTCTCAAATGTTTCATTTCCGATCTATGGTATATTTTTATTAAATTAAACAAAAACGGGGATTTTCAATATTTGTTTGATAAGGACAAAAATATCGACGATTTTTAAATTTCTTTATATTTCTGTAAGAATATAAAAAAAACCTAGATATCTTTTTTAAAATATACATCACTTTTAGAATGTTTGAAATGTAAAGGCCAAAAAATCGTAGTTGACTTTTCTTACAAATTAAATGATTGTCTTTTACAACTGGAAATTTTCCTTAATTTCCTTTTTTAAAACATAATTCCCTATTTGTGTTGTAATTTTCCTATTTGTTTAGCAATTTTTTTTCTTATCACATTATATTGCTGTACATTTTTACTGTTTTATTTTAATGTTTCATCGTAAGTTTGTATGTACTGTTTGTATAACATTTGTATTAAATAAGTTGTATTTCACTCAAGCTTGGATTAATACCGGTATATCATCAAAAATGTTTTTGTATTAAAATGCTTATTTTGTAAAGTTTTCATTTGAATATTTTTTTTCAAATGTTTTTTTTATTGAAAATATAAATACATATACAAATAAATCATTTAATGTTGCAATTGATTATGATTAAATGAAATAAGATCACTCATAACACGTGGATATAGTAAACAGATTCATAAATCAGGAACAAAGCCTCTTCATTCATAAAATGTTATTTCAGAGCCGTTTTAATTCATTGTTTTTCTCACCTGAAATAAAGTTAGATTGTAATTATTTTACGTATGATTGAATGATAAAATTTGTCTTCCATTAATTGATTATAGGTTTTTGACGTTCAGGTGGACAATTTTTCACTCATATAGATACTTACCGTTATCCGGTGAAGGGCCGCATATTTAGATCTGTACTTGGCACTTGAAGCCACTAATCAGAGGTCTTTGTCGTACCAATTCCTTCCTATTTGGCATGAAGCCTTGGTTTTTAAGGTCCCGTCCAAAAACTTTCACTTCAAAGTACCGAGAGCATGGCGAAGAAGAAGTTGCTACATTTTTACGAGGGTCATTTGGGAGAAAGCTCTATCGGATGAACTACCATGACGGTCTCTATGTATGATACTAGTATGTAGATGTACATTGATTATCTAAGTTTTGTCCGCAGTAGTTCTCAAAGTTGACTTTGAACAACTTTAAAATTAATGTACGATCTTGTATTTTGATTGCCATAGGTAGTTGCTATTCATAGACCTGAATAAAAAATCTATTGTTATAGCTATAGTAATTTGTTCCTATTATGATTTATACGAAAAAACATTTTTAATGTTTTGCTGAGTGTGCATAAAAAATCGATGTTTGACAGTTGAGTGAAATGTTGGACCGCTTACGTCACAGAATGGGCGGAGCATAATCTCATTTTCATTCGTTGCTGTTCAAAAGTGACGGACTTGAGGTTACACCACGGAAGACAGTATAAAATTAAAATGAACGGTACAAAAACATTTATTGACTGTATGTTCTCGGGCAAAATGCGTTTTGTCGACCCTCAAACCAAACTGTATGCCTTCGGCCTAACGGCCTTAAGTATAAGTCACATTATCCAACGATGGGGTATACGATGAGAAACCGATGCGTTTTTTGATGAAAATGGTGTGGTTGCCGGCCGGGCACCACTAGTGATCGGACGGTGACTGAGTCTTTTTTGCGAATCGGTGGGGTCATCTAGGAAATAATCGGCGATGTCTCCAACGATGCCTCACATCGCTCCTCATCGGCAACCCATCATTAACACATCTTTCAAGGATCGACCGATGTATGGCTGAGCATCGTCCAATATCCGTTGAATCTGAGGTCATCATGGGGTTGAGTGGTGGGCAACAGATAACAACCGATCATCGGTCGATGTTCTACCAAACATTTGTACGAACGATGTTCACCAATGTATGAGCGATGTACAATGCATCGTTGAACCTTTGTTTTTTTTCATAAAACACATTGGTTGCCCATCGTATGCACATCGCTGGATAATGTGACTAATACTTTTAGGACTAATAGGCCGATGTGGACCGATGTTGGGGCATCGTTAACACCACCGATTACTACCGATTACCACCGGTCTACGGCTACCGGCCGGGAAATTCGGTGGACAGTGAGACCCTCGAAAGTCAGTAAATGTAAAATCAACATAAAAATTTTTGGTTGCATAAAGAAAACTATTATTTTTGCGCAATTTTCATTTCGGTTGACTCCGAAGAAGGAAAAGAAATTGTGCAAAGAGTGGATAGTAAAAGTTTTTTATGGTTAGAGAGAAAAAACGAAACATGTCAATCTTATTTTCATCAGTAGCTGTCTTTGTAATTCTGAACTTAATGTAAGATTAAGTTAAAATTCAAGTGATATTTTATTAAGGAATGTTAATTATCAAAATTATTTTGTCTTTGTCGGCAAAATGTAACATCCGTCATGGAATTAAATAGGTATAATGAGACAAATTATTCCACATAAGAAGATGACTATCGGCAGAAGATAAAAGATATTTAAACATAAAGGGGAAGTTTACTGTCGTCAACAGAAGTTCATTGAGATATAGGCCTCTGTAGATGATCAAAATAAGTACATCTGTGTAGATTCAAAAGAAAAACGTTTCCTGATTTTTTTAAGTAATCTTTTCAATTTCTATCTCTACGAAAGGTTTTTAAAATCGAAGAATATTTACAATACAAAATAGAATACACGTGTTCTTCATTCTTCGTAGCTCGATGAACACTTTTGTCACCCATGCCCTGTCAAAAACATCAAACACCGATTTAAGAAGGATAATTATAAATAAATGATAGATCTGCGTGAGTACAAAAAGTGTAGAAAAAACAAGCATACTACTATAAACTAAAAAATTAACATGTTTGCAGAAATATATATTGTCAATGTGTCTGTACGTATAATACACACACGCACTGGCAAATATAAAGCAGGACACTTTAATGAATGTTAAATACACTTTAAAAAGTTTTTCAATATTTATTTTCACTACATCATTAACACATTTACATATATAAATGGTTTATGGTGGTTGCACTGTGTGTTCATTTTTAGTTTTATACGCAGTACTAGCTATTAATAGATTCAGCTACTGCTTCTACTTCTACTTCTTTACTTGTAAGAGGTCACCGACCCATCACACAAGTTTGACGTCAGACAAATGGTGCATTTTAAAATCATCTATTTACAGTAGAAGTGCAGGATAAAAACAATTTTGGCTCTGGTGTTTAATTCAGATGTTCTACGAGTCTGGTCTTGAATGACTCGTAATTATCGATGTTCAATAATTTGGGTGGTAGATCTTTCCAATCCTTGATAGTTCTGGAAAAGAAGCTGTTCTTATATTGTTCTCCAGTGGATCTTAGCCTGATAAAACGTTTCTGATGTGTTCTTCTTGTTGATCTTTCTGATGCTTGGATGTAGTCAGGTATTGGTATTTCAATTTCTTGGTGTAGTATTTTGTGAAACATGAGAAGGCGTGATATTTTTCGCCTTATCTCAAGAGATGGTAAATTCAATTTATCTAAAAGTGTGGTAACTATTCCTGGGTCTCTTGAATATTCACTAGCAATGAATCTTGCAGATCTTCTTTGCACCATTTCCAGCTGTTGTATGTGTTTTTGAAGATAAGGGTCCCATACACTACTTGCATATTCTAGATGAGGTCTTACTAATGCCAAGTATGCTTGATGTTTTATTTCTTGGGGAAATTTCCCTAGATTTCTCCTGACAAATCCGAGTGATCTTGTTGCTTTGGTGGTTATGTTGTTTATGTGGTGGTCCCATGAGAGTGTTGATGTCAGCTCTACTCCTAGGTATGGATTATGGTCTACTTTATCCAGAACATGTCCATTCATGTGGTAAGGGAAGTCTATGATTTTTCGTTTTTTGCAGATACGAAGAACATAACATTTGGTGGCATTAAAAACCATCTGCCATTTTTCTGCCCATCGTATAAAAGATGTTAGGTCTTTCTGCAATTTTTCACAGTCACTCTTGGAAGAAACAGCAAGATATAATAAGCTGTCATTAGCAAACAGTCGAATAGATGAGGTGATGTTATTACCAATGTCATTAATGTATAACAAAAACATCAGGGGGCCAAGGACTGTTCCTTGAGGGACTCCAGACTTCACATGGACTGATGAAGATTCCCCACCATCTACAAGTACCCTCTGTTGCCTTGTTACCAGCCATGACTCTATCCAACTGTTGATGTTTCCACTGATGCCGTAATGGTCCAGCTTTAGTAGAAGTCTTTTGTGCGGCACTGTATCAAAAGCTTTGCTGAAGTCTAATATCAAGAGGTCTACCTGTTGTTTTTGGTCTAATTTACGTGATATTTCTTCTACTGTTATGATAAGTTGAGATTCACATGATCTTCTTTGTCTGAATCCATGCTGAAATTCCACCAGTATTTGATGTTTTCAAGGTGTTCCATAATGTGCTTAAACATGATGTGTTCCATTATTTTACAGGGGACTGATGTCAGTGAAACTGGCCGATAGTTTTCCGGTTTACTTTTGTCTCCCTTTTTATATAAAGCTATGATGTTCGCTGTCTTCCAATCATCAGGTACATTCTTTGTTTGGAGTGTTTTCTTAAATATGAAAGTCAGGTAAGGTGCAATCTCTTTTGCAGCTTCCTTTAGGATCCGACAGGATATTTGGTCAGGTCCACTAGCCTTTGCTACATTAACACTCTGCAGTAGCCTTGCCACTCCTTCTATGCTGATGTGTAAATCTCCAATGACTGGTGCTACCGGTGTTCCAAGGTCT